ATAAATAATTATTTAGTAGACAATATTAATTTTGTATTGATATTAATCTCGCAACAAATATACTCAAAAAAATAATGATAAGTGATTTAAACAATAATAAATAAAAAAATTAATCGATTTTATTTTATGACTGAACTCCATTTATAGAAAGTATATAAATATTATATGTTTATTTATATTACAAATTTAAGAGTAAAGTATAGCACTTATCAAAATTAAAATAGATATAAATCAACAAACATAGATCTAACATACTGTCTATAAAGTTATATAAATACTATAGATTATTTAAGCATATAAAAATGAGTTAACAATTTATATTAAATATAACTCATATCAACAAACTACTACATTACATATTTTTCACTATATTTTTTAATATAATTAAATGTTTTGCTAAAACAAAAACTAATAAAAATTATAAATACTGCAAAATATTCTTGTTATTGTTGATAAAATTTTTAAAAATTTTTATTTAAATAATCGATTAGTATTACATAAAATTTTATGAATTATAATAATCAAACTTGTTTTACAGATTATGAATGAATTTATAATGTTAATAATACATTAATAATAAAAACTAAAAATGCACAATTATTAAATATAACATTTTAATAAGTTTTATGTATTTATATTCTGTATTAAAATTAATTCCAAATGTAATGAAATAAGTAAAAATATATTTTCTATAAAAATAAAAATTTGAGTCTAAATAACAAAATTGTTGGACAGATAGCTCTCTGTTCTTAATTTGAGTTTTGAATCATTGATTTTATTAGATTAAAGACAACGAAAATTTGCTGTAATAACAATCCCTGCGGTCTTTATATTGTATGTAATAAATGCATAATAAATGCATATCCAGTTGACTAAATTATCATTATTTTAAATTCACTTATTTTAAAATACTAATAAAGTGTATATTATTATTGTATTGATTTGTTAAAGACTGTAAAATTAAATTGTTTTCATTCTTTGTTATATTTTTTTAGTCTAAAAAAAGGATATCCTAATGAACTTCATTTCTCGTATAATATTTGTCAAAATATGCTATAATTAAATAATCGTAATTTTAATTAGAATTAAAAAATAGTATAAAAACTATTTTTTCTTTTCTATTGATCACCAAAATTGTACACAAAATGATAAAAAGATTTTATTAATACATTTTATTTATTACAGCTTTAGTCTATATTAAGACTAATTTAATTTCCAATGCTTTTAGTATAACTGTATATTATATATATATATATATTGGTCAAATCCTAAACACAAAATCATTAATTTTGTAATAGTGTTCAAAAACTGGAATTTGTGAGCAAATTTTCAGATAAGTTTCAAATAGTAATTTCTATTGACTATTTGATAATCTCTATAATTTCATTAATATTAGCTATTTTTATATTTATTTTAGTTAAAAATTGAATTGATATAATCTAAGTAAGTTTTTTAAATAATATTATTTCATAATTTGTGAATAGATAGCAATCGCAATCTTAAATTAAAAATATATTTACAATAAAAAATCTTATAAAAAGTAATATATTCTATACGAAGAAAAATTCAATATTTTTGATTTTCATTTAAAATGATGAAAAATAAACATATTATGTGTAGTTTTCAGTGATTTTTTGCTATACAATTGATTTTGTTGTAAAGAATTTTTACTCTCTATTATTGACAGTATATTTGATGAAAGACTAAAATATAAATTATATGAGTGATATAGGAATGTAAGACAAGTGGACTAAAAATTATATGATAGCAATGGGACTCAATGTTCAATACATTTGACAATAAATGCTAAATCTTAACTACCAGTGCTGTACTCGTAGAACAAGCAATTGGTCTTTGTTTTTGTGTATTAAAGTCACGTAATGTAAGAGAAAGAAAAAAACGCAATGAATGGCTGGATTGATGTAAAGACAAACTCCAAGTGCTGTAAGAAATTGTGGCAAATAGTTATACACCACTGATAGTCAGTCAGTCACTACATTAACGACAAATGAGATGACTGGCAAACATTGATCATATGATATCATTAAATCATTTATATTAACACTCAATCCTACAATTCCTTATACTATAACATAATATATTATTGTCATATAAACAATAAATTGACTTTCAATGCTATAAAAAAATTATAGCAAAAGAATTTAATATTAAATAATTAAATAATTTTTGTTTATTTCAAATATTATGTATTGTCCAGTATATTGTTTTATTATGTTCAGTAATATCCTATTTTAGTTGAAAATTCTCAATTTGTACAAAAGTATTATATACGGTATATACCAAACAGTTAATGATAATAATAATAATAATATAAAATTATAGAGTTCACACAATATTTTTTTTCGTGACTTTTATATTAAAAATTCAATTATCGTTTGCTAACAACTTTTAACATTTAAGTAAAAAAGGTTTTGTTAATCTTTCTTAATAATGTTTACCACATTATATACATTTCAACATATATTTTATATTTTGTTTCTCATATTAAACTCAATTAGTAATATTAATAAAATATTGTTTATAATGCTGTATAATATGATTTTTTCAGTAAATTATTAAAAAATTAGTTTTAATGTAACTTTAAATTATTTACTTGAAAAATATACAGTAATTTTTTTATTTATAAATATTAATTTTAATGAGATTTCAAATTTAATTCATTACAGTAAAATAAATAGCTGCATCCCCTTTTGAGAGAGAGAGAGAGAGAGAGAGAGAGAGAGAGAGAGATCACATTCTAATAATTACTTAAATATATTAAATAAATTGTAAAATTTAATTATAAATTATTTGATAAATCTATATATAATAACAGTATATCTTATTTCGAAAAATATCTACATTTAAGACAACTATTGTATTAATAATGGTAAACAATCCGCTTATATTAACATAACGTATATTGCTTTATAATTTAAGTCTACAAAAATCAAACTCAAGACACATAAAAAGTAATTATATAAAAATAATATATAACGTTATAATTTATAAAGCTTTATTGCTCCCAGGCATTTAATAATACAAAATAAACTATTTTACATTACTTTGAGGTATAAAAATATATATAACAGTAATAAATATAATACAAATATAAAACATTTGGATAAAATACAAATGTTTAGTGAGTAACAATAATATATTGTATATTTTATTATATACCTGTATATAAATTATAAATAATATTATAATTATAGCTATTTTCACATGTTTTTATACAAATAAAATTTAATTTAAAATTAATTAGTAATTATTATGAACAATATCCTTCATTGTATTAATTAAATCTCAATTTTAAATATTATTATATTTATATAGGTTAGGTTAGGTTAATATATATAATAATATAATAATATAATCTTTTATATAGCTTAGTATAAGTTAAATATTTTTTAAAAAATTAAATATGAAATATGTCAGTACTATTACAGTTAACACAAAATTTACATTAATATTAAATCAGATTATTTATTATTATATGCAAAATCACAAAAAACTGAAGGTATATTTATTACAGATTTATAATATAATCCAAATGTAAAATTATGTACTATTATATACAGTATGTAATAGTAGAGCAACTTTATGTAATCAGTATAAACTTGTATAATGTAAAAAAATATTTTGATTTTATATGGTATATAACTTTTATATACAGTATCTTACTTATATATTAATTTCACATTTATTAAAATATTAAATTCAATTAAAATTTTATAATATATTTTTTTAAAACAAAATGATAATACTAACGATTTAATATATACTATCAAAATTATTAATTATTTATACTAAATTATATACATATATTTCTAAAAAAATTATTTTTTATTTCAGTTTTTTTAAATTTATTTATAATTTAAAATTAAATATCTCATAACAGGTAAAACATAATTCATTTTAAGTATTACTTATTGAGTAATATTTAAATTACAACTATAATAATATATAACAATTATAGATGTAATTAAAATCCGTCACTATTTTGATTACTTATATTTCGATACTGTGTTTAGTCCGTAATTTTGTTGATAGTCTTAAAGTCCGCAAACATTACTTAAGCCATAATTTGGTGACATTTTTGCATTTACTTAACACTAACTCTCTTGAGATCGTTAATCCTTTTGGAAGCAAAAGCAATACATTTTCGGTCAAAATAAACATTTGTGTTCTTCTCTTAAAAAGCTATTTTGTTAACAACCGATAAGTTTAATATAAATTATGTTTTTTGTAACACTTATTCTTGAGTTTAGTTCACTTATAGACTCATTACTTATTTTATATATTTCAACCATCGATAACCTAACCCTTTAACATATAATATATTAAAATATTGGTTTATAAATAACAAATATTATGATTCATTTAACTTTCAAGTAGTAATCAATTTATATTTTAAACAAAACAACTTTTTCTGTTTTTTTAATATTAAAATACTTACCATTTTTATAAAGAAAGGTTTTAAGCTAAAAATAAATGTATTTTTACAGAAATTTACGGATCATTTCCAATTGAGACCATTTTATCTCAATAATAATTCATTTAAATAAATTCTATACAATTTTTTAGATATTAATATTAAATAAGAATTTGGAATATTTTATAATTTTTTGTTTATTATATATTTATAATAAGTTTTTGTGTATTATAACAATATTTGCTTTTAATTTTACTATAATATTTCAATTGAATAAAATTAACTTTACTAAATTTTAATTAAAGCTATTTAAAATTAAAAGTTAAAACTAATTTTAATTTATTTGAACTGTTTTAGTGATCATGAATAAATCATGACTTATTCATGATTAATAATATTTTATAGTAATATTTCTAAAAATAGCTTAAATTGAAAATAAATACTACTGTATTATACCACTATATACTATACACAATTAAATAAATATATATTTGTATTATAATGGATATAATGGATTATAATGGATATAAATACATCAAATTATGTGATAATAAAAATGACTGACCAGTCTGTCCTTTGCCGAGTGTCTTCTCCAGTCTATACGGCCCGACGTATTGATAGGAGTGTTGGTGGATGTCTTGATTGTTGCCATCTCTTAAGCCCGACATCTTTGGTGATAATCTAATGTGTATTTGTGGTGATGAACATTGGCAGACATACCACAACAGTAGACAATAAATGAAGACACATTGGAATTGTGGTTCAATTGTATTAAATTTATTGATATATTCCACTAATTAATGGCATTTGATGACCGACGCCATCGACAATACTGTTATACGTTTTTATATGTGTTGTATAAATAGGGTTAGAAATGTTGTCATATATATATATATATATATATATATATAAGTGCTGAGTAGGTATAGTCTATGAACAGAGAATCCAATACAAGTAAACCAGTGTTTTGTTGGTTTAGTTTTCACTTTGATATCCACTGCGTTCAGAGTCAGAGCATTGCGTTTATCACTGCATTCAATGCCTTCACAACCAATATATCGATCGATACAAACATTTGCAATGCATTCACAACATTACAGCGTTTAGAACATAGATTTCTATGACATCACTAACGACATGACTCCCACCTATAGCTTTACAAAACATATTTATTATTATTATGGTTATCATTCATACTAATTCCTTACAAACATTAAAACATTGTCATAAATATTTATTTTGTATTCACCCATAAAAAATTAAAACTTTTAATTAATTATAAAATTTTGAGTTATCATAGGTTTGCTTTAAACACGAATGTTTGACAAAAACAATGGTGTAAAATGACATCTCTACTAAAAATATCAATGCATTTACACACACATTCTGATCGATACCAATCATAAACTTAATTAAAGCAATTGTTTTTCGTAGTAAACAATCGCAAAACCCCTTTGTTTGTCTAAAGTGTTTTCAAAACAACATTAATATTATAACATTAGAAGTTTATGTTCAAAATAGTCCTTAATTTATAATACCAAACATATTGTCTCTCTGTTTCTCACTTTCTATCAAATTATACAATGATTTAATAAAAGTCTATTTGCTATCTATATTACTTTACATTTATTGTATACTAAATTACTATTAATAATATTCTCAAATATATATATATAATATTATTAGTTGTAATAATATATTATATATTAGTTATATCAGTGTTTATATTAGTAGGAAATTAAAAAAATAAATATTAAAATTAATAACATATTAATATTAAAAATACTAATAATAAATAAAAATATTTAATAATTGGAATAATTTATGAGTAGTTAGACAAACATTATTATACAGTATATAATATTTTTAATATCAATAGTATTGAAATAAAAATTAATTGCAAATAAATAGATATTCAATAGAAAGTTTAACTCATATTCAGGTATTAATAGTTAAAAATCAATAATATTTTTAATATTTAATTACATAATTGATATTTCAAAATATATTTATAAATATTTAATCAAACAGTTTAGTACTTTAATAAGTTATTAGATTTATTTTGGATATAATAATATGAAAATAAATGTTTATTATAATTAAATAATTAATTAATTAAAAAATATAAATTTGACAGATATTGTAATAGAAATGTAATGTTATATTTGAATGACTCGTAAACTGTATTATGATTTTATAATTGAATTGATTCCACGTTTTAATTATTATTTTAATATTAATTGAATTAAATTAGTGATTGAATTAGTTATCAAAAACCAAATTATGGAAAATGTATTTTCATTGAAGACAATCAATGAAAGGATCCGATCGCTGGATGTCTACCCGAAAGTGTTAGAAGATTTCCGAATCAAGACATTCGGTGGGGCCACAGGTCGGTCACCAATTGATTGATTGTCTCAAACATATCAAAACCTAATAATCTGATCCCTAAAGACTTATATTATACTTATTGAAAAAAAACTTATTTAGTTAACTATTAATCGACTAATTGTCTCATTAATTGATCCCATATATAGTGACAATAATCAGTGGTATTTTAATGGTAGTCTTATTTATATCTGAACTAAACTACTACTTAACTCCCGAATTACGTGAAGAGTTATTAGTAGACGTTTCGCGCGGAGAGAAACTGAGGATCAATTTGGATGTCGTCTTCCCTCATATTGCTTGTGATTTTCTGGCCATCGATGCCATTGACGTGTCCGGCGAACAGCACATCAATATCGAGCACAATGTCTTCAAACGTCGTCTTTCACTGAATGGAGAACCGCTTGAAGCGCCAGAAAAAGACAATACAATTGGCACAAAAAAATTAAGTGCAAAGAAAGAGTTTCTCAATAAAGTAACGGAAACACCGGTCACAACGTTAGACCCGAATCGGTGTGAGAGCTGTTACGGTGCAGAAAGTGGTCGTCGAAAGTGTTGTAATACTTGTGATGAAGTTAGACAAGCATACAGTGAGAAGGGTTGGGGTCTCAACAATATGGATGACATCATGCAATGCAAACGGGAAGGCATTAAGAGTCGACTCCAGAACTATGACAAAGAAGGCTGTCAGGTGTTTGGATACGTTGAGGTTAACCGAGTCGGCGGTAATCTACATATCGCTCCCGGAAAGAGCTTTACTAAACATCACGTTCACGTGCATGACCTCAGTATTGGCGACTATCAGCGATTCAATCTGACACACAAAGTAAGACACCTGTCCTTCGGCCGGACAATGCCCGGCAAAACTAATCCATTAGACGGAACCTTTCAATCGGCTGAAGAAGGAGCCATGATGTTTCAGTATTACATTAAAATAGTGGCCACACTTTATGCCAAAAGTGATGGCCAGACACTTCAAACAAATCAATTTGCAGTAACCAGACATAAGAAACCAGTTTTAGACGCCTTATCCGAGAATGGAATGCCCGGAGTGTTCTTTGTCTATGAGTTCGGACCAGTTATGGTAAAGTATAGTGAAATCAATAAGTCATTCATGCATTTCCTCACTTCTCTCTGTGCGATAACCGGTGGTATCTTCACTGTATCGGCTATTATAGACTCATTGCTATATCACTCGATTAAAGCCATACAGAAAAAGATTGAATTGGGAAAAGTCTCGTAATTAAGTCATCAATTAGTTAAACATTCCTTTAAATTATAATTTCATTTATAAGTTTTTTTTAAATATATAATTAAGTCATTATATTTATAATTGTAATAACGATCTAATCTTATCGACCAAATTTTAACTAACATTTATATAATGTTTTATACAGTTTGCTAAATGTAAATAACTTCATAATATACTGTATGTTGTGATATTTAAATGTTTTATTTTAAATAAAATTTTAAAAAGTTTTTTTTGTTGGTTTTATTTCTTGATAGCGAATGAAGTATTAAATTAGAGTAAAATATGAAATGAAATTTAGCAAAAAATATCACAAAATGTTTAATTCTTTGATGATTTCAAGGTATAATAAAAATCACAAAAATACAAAATGAAATAACTTTTTAATAATACATTTAAATTAATTAAAATTATATTTAAAATCTCAACGTTATAATACATTAAGCATTTATTAACAGTCTTGAGAATTTTGAGTGCCTTTTAAATCAGTGTTTAATCCATTAGGTGTCGGCTATTAAATCAATGATATAGTTAATTGTGTTAATATATTTAACAAATAAAGTTTCATATAAAGTGTAGTTATTTTGAAAGTACTCATGGGTTTTATTTTTATTTTATTTTTAGTAAATGAATACAGTATCGTACGGTTAAATGTTTGACAAATATTTTAGGAAAATTTCCAAACATTTTCAAATTGTAATGTTGTTCACAGTTTTACTAAAAATTTCCATGAGTACATTCAAAGTAAGTACACATTATTAAATTACATTATTTGAAGGCATTAAAACAGTTGGTATATTAGTATTTTGTCTAATTAGCAAATTATTAGTCGACTGATCCACAGTTTGAAGTCTATATATCTTCACATTTGAGCTTTGGTTGGATTGTATTCCTAATTAACATTTATAATAAGTGATAAAATAATTTTTAATTTAAAGTAGAATTACCTGATATTTGAAATGATTGTGAAATCGGTTTAAAGGTATTAGTATTGGATGTATTATTGGTGATAGTGAGTGATGGTGTTGTTTGTTCAACCAATTGATTTTGAGTGTTAGCCTGAAATACAGGTAATAATCGTTTCTTCACAGGAATACAATTTGATGGAATACTTCTTAAGCTTTGAATTAGTTGAACATTATTGCTGACCACTTGTCCAGTGTTTGTAAAATTAACAGTATTAACCATATTATTAGGATTAATACTATTTTGAGTCGTGCTTATGATGGTAACAGGTTTCCAGACCTGTCCTGTCTCACAGCGACTCAATTTGATAACAAGGCGTTTGGGATCAGTAATTGATAACTCTTTGCGTGCGTTTTCATTGTTTGATATTACAGATGATGTAAATACAGCGTTTGATGTGTTGGTATTCATGTCATTTCCAGAAGAAACTACTTTTAATGAAAATTGTGGTCCAACTTGAGATACTTTAGGTGATGATATAATGACAGCATTTTGTGGCAAAACAACACAATTGCCATTTTGTTTGATGCTTTGACTCCAGTCATTCAATGATTTAAATGTTAAATTCTCAGCAATTTTAGTGTTTGTTGAGACTGTTTGTTGTGGATTTGACTGAAGTTGAGGTATGGATTGTTTATGATTTATATTGTGAAGAAAGTTAGCCCACATATCACCGTCGACTTGTAGTGTATTTGTCGGTTCATGACTTTCAATAAATACGTTATTTGGATTAGAAAATGAAATAGTTTTAGGACAAGACTCTTCATTGTCTGTAGTGTTGTTGATAACAGTGTTAGGATTAAGTCGCGACTCGTTTGCCATAACAGCCTTTTCTGCCGCTTCGGCCAAAACATTAAGTGCTTTAAATGTTGTTCGCCTTTTGTTTTGTATTTTCTTTTTTTTCGCCTCAATTGCTGGCTTTATATTACTTGGATTAGACTTTTTTGGTGGATATATAAATGCAATGCTCTCATCATAACTTAACTCTCGCTCTAAATGTTTAAGAGTTGCTCTTTTAAATGCACGCCAAACCGCATAAGCCATTAATGTGTAGCCATTTTTAGGTCCATTAAATGTCTCGCAATTATTAACCATTAGTTTAAAGTCTTTCTCCAGATCTTCAAATACATTATACTCTTTGTTCAAAATCTTATTCTCAATTATTGACAAATCTATTGGATGTTCGATCACCTGATAATACATCGGAAACTTAATGCCGTCAACCGGTTCAGCAAAAGGCCAGGCGTCCCGATTGGACTTTACATTTACAATCACTTTGGAAATCAATTTAAAACAAATTAATTACAATTATTTAAATTGATTTATTAATTATCAAACCTTTTTCTAGATTTTCATGAAGTTTATCTATGGTATTGGTTGTTGGACTCAATATATTAGTAAATCTGTATAATTAACAAAATATATATATATATTTTAAACACATTATCATTTTTTAGATAGTGTATAGAATATGTTAAAATTACTAATTTAAAAATATTGTGTAATCTTAAATGGTTATGGTTTACAATTAAGTCAAATGATACATAGGATCAATTGGGTTGACATTGCACTGGTAGGCACTGAGAAACTATCACTTACAAAGTGGTTTCTTTCGTACTGATAGGTCGTTAAGATAATGTGTGGCTGAGGCAGATCTCGCATACAATACGAGTGCCCGCAATAGGAAACAAAAAAACGTATTATTATAGAGTAATTCAATTCAATTAATCAATAAGACTCTGACCAGACTTACGATTTCATTATAAATATAATATAATTTACATAAAATTTCAATATTAAACACTTACTCTTCGTTAATGTATTCAGTATTCATATCATTGGAATCATTGAAATCTTCGGTATTTTGAATATCATTCATCTCATGGATGACTCCATTCTCAATAAGTTGTCGTTTGATCGCTCTGTCGGCCCTTTCTTCGACTAATTTAATTCTTTTCGAAGCTCTTTCTTCCCTTTCCTGTCGTATTCTTTCACTTCTTTCTCTTAACGATTTCTCGTTATCTAATCGTCGCTTTCTTTCTAATTCATCTTTTAGTCGTCTTTCTAGTTCTTCCTCTTCTAAATCTTGTTTTTCTTTTACTATTTTTTTCAATTCAATTCTAGACGACGCTCTACGCGGTAATAGCTCAAGAAGTCTTTGTCTGTCAACTTTTGCTCTTTCTTTTTCTTGTTCTTCAAATATTTCAGTTATTTTAGGTACAAAACTCTTGGATAACAATCTATAAAACTCGATCTCACATTTGGTTTTACTTTTGGCAAACTTTTCGCACAACTCTTTCCAGTCCTGTTCCGTCCGACAAACTAAACTCCAGCCCTCCTGTCGTTCACTTAAATCCCACAACACATCCTTTACTCGTGTAACACTAATTTCACACTTTTTATTAGTGGATTCTACACTCACAGCACTTTTCTTTGAAGAGTTTTTATTGTTAACCACTCCGTTGGGCTTTGAAGGTGTTTCTGGTTTTCTCTGTCTGAGTCCTTCCCGAAAACCGGGCACTTTTGGCGGCAAATTTCTACTTTTTTTAGTCTCCTCTTTCTTACGTTTAATCTCTTCTAACTCCTGACGTTTCCTTTCCTGTTCTTCTTTAAGTTTAACACGTTTAAGATCTTCGGCTCTTTTGGCCAGTGATTCGTCATATTTTTTATAACTCGAATCAATTTTTTCGGCTAATCCAGGATTCTCTCGATATAATCGGGTCCCATAAAAATACCAATAAATATATCCTTTACTATCAGTACCGAGAGGTTCAACTCGGTAGTCATCGCCATTAATTTCATTGACTATGTTTGCAATATCGTCAGCAAACAGTCGATAATCACATAAAGCATGGATTACATCAAGTTTTACTCTAAGCGGCAAATCATAAAACCGTTGATGAATTTCATTGCCGTCCAAATCAAATGTAATAAATGGAGAACTCTTCTTCTCGATGCCAGTCCATTGAATTTGAAATAATTTTTGTAAATAATTTTCCCAATTTGTATCACTAAATCAAACAAATCAAATCAAATAATTTATAATTCTCTTAACAAATCTATTTAACCATTACTTGATAGTTGTCCTGAAATATCCCTTAAGAAGTGAACAAATCAGTCGTAAGACGAGATTCGAGTTGACTGAAGACACATCTGACTCGTCTGAAGAGATAAGAGTCACGAAAGCAAACTCTAAATCCTATTTTATAATAGTTTAGACAATCATTTGAGTAAATGTGATATAATCTTAATATTGATGGTTCAAAAAAAAAAAGATTACCTCATAATCAAAATCTGGTAAATCTAAGTGATGTCTAAATAGATTACAGAAGTGAGTAATGGATGGGATCTGATAATAGGTCTGCAATTCTGTTGAAAAAACAATTAATACAATCATTAAATTAATGTGAAAATAATATCAAGAAATTGATTCACACAAACCATCCATCAATTAATAGTTTTATTTAATTGCAAATCAAGGTTTCAATCAAAACTGATTGTCAACTAATCAATTGATTTACACAATCACTGCAAACAATATTATTAACCGATTCATACAATCAATAGATTTTCATTGAAAACAAAACAATTTTCAAACAAATAATTGTCAATAAATTGCAATATTATTGTAATTATTATGTATTTTAAGTCTCAATGTTTTGGATATCAATAGTCGACCCGAAATGCTTTATCAATGAATAAGTCAAACTAAAAGTCACACAAATTTCTACTATAAATATATCAAACATTTTGTCCCCTAAAATGTGTTAACACTATGTAATAGTATTGTAATCATTATAACCATTCAATTGTTGTTATTTATGTCAATAGTGTGCTAACCGTTGAGTGAACAATGAATTTAATACTCAATTATTGCAAACATTTTGTTCACAAATATCACTATAAGAGTCCTTGTATTGCATTTTTCGCACAATTTTTATACAATTTCTTAATATTTATATTAATAACGATATCTCTACTCTAATCTACTATTTATTAATATATTTATTCAATTTATTGCATTTTTATTATTAGATTTTAATAAATATATTTGAAAAAATAAAATTGTTGTCCAAAAATAAAGTAACATTTATTGATATTATGTATGTATTCAAGGGTTAGACATTCAGAGCCATTGTTCATAAATATAGTGTCATTTGATGGCAGAGTAAAAGTTATATTAAATATTAATATAATTTTTAGTTTAATTTATTGAAAACTTATTTTAATATATTTTTATTCAATATATATATATAAATATTTTACAGTATTATGCAATCATATGATAGTAAAAGTTGTTTATCCAATTGACTTATCCCTTATTAACCCCAATAAACATGTATTTGTTATTTAATATTTGTTTTATTAATATTATAATATATTTTATTTATCATATTTTGGATAATTTGATTGTCAAATATGATATAATAGTCATATAATTTGATACATCCTATGAAAGGCACATATATTTGATAAGATATTGTTGATTCAAATATCATATTATTTTATATGCTTTTATCAAATGCATTATAAAAGTCATAAAAAGTGTATCAAACAAACAAACAAACTATTGATTAGAAGGAAAATAATGTGAGAAATATTTGTTGGCATAACATGTGTTAACTGTGGAGATGGAGACACATGTAGTCTACCATTAATTCAATGATATGTTCAATAGAGAAGATGGAGAGAGAGAGAGACATATCGTTAATATTTAGAGAGAGAGAGAGTGAGTGAGTGATTGAATGCTGAGGTGTGTGTATGTGTTGTCTAGTGTTGTGTATGTGTTGTGTATTACTGTATGTATTAATAGGAAATGTTATGCCCATAGAGTGCCCTACAGTGTAGTGACGGCCCATTAAAATGGTTGAACATTAATATTATTAATATTAGAGACATATTATTATACAAACAGTGATATTATGATTGTATGCGTTAAGCACTAACTAATTGTTACATAAGTGTCGACCATTGAGTTGATTGAATGCCAGCAATGATGTGATGATTGATTGTTTGAATCAATTGTTTGCAAACTTTTTTGCCACCAATTGTTAGTCTAAAACATTAGTGAATCCAATCAGTTGTCAAATCATCGATCAAATGGTAATCACTTTTTTATTTACATTTTTGTCACGAGTTTTGCTCAACAAATGTAATGTCATTTCAATGCTTTTCAATGCATTTTCTAAATAATTATGACTTTTATTGCATTTTTAAAACTATTTTAATTATTTTTATCATATTTTAGACGAAAATTACTGAAAAATGTTGGCATTTGTCGTAGAAATGCATTTGAAATGTAAACAAATGTCGAAATTAATGTTGAAATAGTGATTAATAGACAATACGTATGAATGCGTGAATCGGTGGTCAGTGACCACAATTGTGAAGTTATATTGTGTCCACTTTTAACTCGGCTATAGTGTTGGCAATGGACTCATGGTGGCCGACGGCTCAACAATATTCCCGATTAAGGGCATCGAGCACTCAGATGAATCAATTAAATTTACCGCCGGGTCTTAATGTCGGCCAAAGTGTTCATCAGCTCAATGTAAACGATCACTTAGGTCTGGGGGTTACGGCCAATGCCACCAATCAGGCCATGTCTGGTCATTACGGCTCTACTGCAGCTCATCCTCACCCGTGGGGTATCTTTTCGTCTCATGGCTTAAACGCGGCCTCACATCAAGCGGCCACTCATGAAAGCTCTTCTTTCAACGCCAACTCGTTTTTCCATCCGAGCTATGACTCGAGTTTTTTGTCGGCTTCTTTCCAGTCAAAAGCTGCTTATTTACCGACGCCTGGCGTTGGGACGGGATTTTTCAATTCAATCAAAAAGGCTGACAACGATATGAATAACTTAAGAAATGCTGCTTATTGTTCAACAATGTCATCAATGCCTGGTATGTCGGCCGCTACTAACATGACAAGTGATCCCAATTCAAGTCTGACGGCTACGGGATCCCTTTTTCCTTCACATTTGCAATCAAGCAATTGGCGCCACAATTTGATTGCAAGCAACACTCCGAGTGGACCTTTTGGTGTATTACCGCATCAAACTGTTAATGCCATGAATGCCATGAATAGCACTTCCAATACAATTGGGAGTTCACACTCACATTCACATCCATCCCATACATCACATGCCTCTCATACATCACATACATCTCATTCATCACATTTAGGCTCTCACAACACTTCACATCATTCAAGTTCATCACATAATAAGTCATCAAATGAGAACCAAAAAGTACATCATTATCACCATCACATCAACAATAAGACACCGACAACGACGATGTCTGGAATTTCAAGTGTCGACAATTCATTTCGCAATATTATGCCGTCTCTGCCTCCGACCCAATCAAGTCATGCAATACAGACCAGGGGTCAGAATTCATTTGACACAAACATAAACGCAAAGATTACTGGTCATCACCATCAAAACCAAACAGATCCCTATGCCTCGGGTATGTTTGCAATGGCTGCGGCCGCTCATGCAATTGGTTCGGATTATGTCTCAATGCAGACACAAAGATATGCATCAGGAATAGCATCTGGAAATCAACAGGCGATGAATGCCTTTGCCTCTAATACCACATCCAGAGGCAGTTATCCTTCAATTGGCTTTCATACAGATCCGAGTGCTCGAAGTCGTGAACTGCTTAGCAGTTCATCACTTCTTCAAAATTCAAAGCAGAGTTCAGCAAATTCTTGTAACTCAAGAAATGTCAACGCAATGAATGCTATGAATGCAACAAATTATTTGCCGAACTGTGCAATGATGCCAATAATGAATAACAGCGCCAATTACTCCTCAAGTCCCGCCAACAACAGTATATCCAATAATTTATCGGCAAATCATCCGGTTTCGCGGTCATCATCGGCTGCCAGCAATCATGGTCTTACACAAGGAAATGATTCTTCATGTAGTTTCGGTTACAACAGTCCGGCCACTAATTTACCACAATCTCCATATCCTCAGCCTCAGCGATCAAATACATCTAACTCTAGTCAGGGAACTACCACAGCTACGGGTGCCGCCGTACAGTCCTCAACCCAAGACTATACAAACTATAGTAATTCTCAGGTATTTCAATCAATGGGCAATCAAACTCCTACTCCAACACCAGGAGGGTATCCCACACCTCCATCCAGTGTTGGTCAGCCTCACTTAACATCAGCCAACACACAACCTACTAATCATGAGGAACAGGTATCTCATTATTCACATATAACACCACAAACTCCTACACAAACCAATCAGTTTTCAGCAAATTATTCAAATTTTGGTTCAAATGCAAAGTTAACAACAAATGGTAATAGAAGTACTGATTCTATATTAAGTAATAGTTCTTCGTGTATGGTGGCGGCCGCAGCCGTGGCTAATATGAATAATTCACAGAACAGTTCATCCAGTGTTTCACAGAGTGCTTCAGGTTATATGATGTCTGAATCTGAATCGTGTGGTCTTTCAAATATGACTTCAGTTAATCCGATTGCTGACAATATTAACAATAATAAGCTCACAAATGACACTCAAATGAATGCATCAAACCATGTGATCGGACATCAATCAAATGAACCGACACTTAACTCAGTGTTTACTTCACCAGAGATTGATTTTCCGATAATTAATTTTACTGATGAAGCAAATAATGCCTTTAATTCAAATCTAAAACTTGATAATTCGTTTAACAACAAGAAGAGTAAGAAAAATAATAAAAAATCAAAGAAAAAGGATAAGAATAAAAATAACAATAATGTTATCAATTTAGTCGATCCTAACAATTCATTTCCAACTTATTCCTATCCAACTCAAGAACAATACACGAACTCATATTCTAATCCAAATCCATATTTAATGTCTCAAAATATCGGTCATCCAAACCAAACATCACAAGAATCACAGGTAACTCATGTTTTGCCAAATGATGCTAATGCTGGTAACACTCATACAAACACAACAAACTGTTATGATATGCAATACCAGCAGCACATACAACAGCAACAGGTGCCACAACAATCACAAACTCAAATGTCAACACATCAGACACAAGCTGATCACGATTTGATACAAATGCCTCACGAGTCACTTCATCAATCTGTTCAACAAACACAAGACCATCAAATGATGGAACCGGTGATGTCGATGGCCTCACAACACTTAACTCCAACGACAACCAATGAATCTGTAGCTGAAAAGCAATCATTTCCTACGATTGACGATGAGTTAAGTTTTCTTACGGAACCAACAGACTGTGTTTCGATGGAAACTCAAACACCAAATATGAATACAAGCGTTCAAATTGAAAATCAGTCGTCTCTTGTGATATCACATGAAACCACAAATATCGGTACTGATCAACAAAATGCAGAAATAAATTCAAACGAAGATTTAAATGCAATTCAAAATAATATGAATTCTAATAACTCGAATAGCAATATAATAAATCCTTATCTTAAAAGTTATATAACTTTTTGCAATTCTCCAAAACCAACCGTTCCTTCGAGTGGTACTAAAGAAAAGAAAAAGAAAAAACTTAAAGAATCCAATGAAAACAAAATTAAACAAAACAATAATACATTAAATGGTCAAAAATCTTGTAAAAATGGCAAAAAAGTGAAACTTGAAGACAACTATGAATATAACGGAATGGAAGACAATTTGGGTTTAGATTTTGATCAGAAAAAGAAAAACTTTTCAACAATCAATCAAAATAATACTAAATTAATGAGTGGAGAAAATTTTAAAAAATCAACGACAGCTGGAGATCGGGAAAACTATGAAAGCAAGTTCTTTAAGAGGAGACCATCGACTAACATGACTATCAATAATGTTCACATCATTGAAATGGAGAGAAAAGATGTCAAAAATAATAAAAAACGCAAAAATAAATTTGATTTAAATATGTTTAATAGTGAATCACGACATATGATTGATGAATATGAGTTTCCCGATAGTCCTCCTAATAGTCATTCATTGAAAAAGAGTCGAAAGTCTAGTAGTAGTGACAAACAAACTAAAAAGTCGACGACTGCTGACTTCGAAAAGATAACTTCTCCTTCTTTTAATTTACCGCTAAAGAAGACTAAGAAAAGTATCAATAATTTGGTTAAACCTGTTTTACCCAATAGTACCACAGAATCCATTGAAAACAGTATTAATAGTGTTGTACTTAACACTGGATTATCACAAATCACTGACAATTTGCAACAATCAGAACAAATGTCTACCATTGATGTGATGCCAAATGTGACGACAAACTTGAATCAAACAACAAATTCAGTTAATAATAATAATATTAACAATAATAATGATATATCAAACACTATTAATAATAATCAATTACCGGTAAATAGTAGTAGTTGTAATAATAATAATAATAATAGTTGTAGTAGTAATAGTAATAGTAGTAATAATAATAATTGTTATAAAAATCCTATACAAAATCATGTGTCGACAAAAAAATGTTTAAATGTTGTTAATACGAGTTCAACTACAATAGCAACTATATCATCGATAATCACACCAATCATAGCAACTACTCCGGCACTTACTATAACAACGACTCCATTAAATACATCGACGGTAGCCATTGAACACATTCTAAGCCCTATTCAGATAACTCCTACTATTTTAACAACAAACACAATGTTGAGTACATCTCCAGGGAGTTCTTCGACGCCAACTATTAACACAAATACTTTAACGACTCCAACAATAAATAATAATTCAAATCAACAATCAGTTGGTATGCAAAGTGCCGGTACTAATACACCTCGAAGAAGATCTCAAGATAAAAAAGCATCGACTATTCGTGAAGGACTTATGAGAACCGGTGATTTTGTTGTGTCCATTGATGAATCACAATATGATTTGCCTGTTATTTGGCGAATTGAAGGCAAAAGTCTTTTACAGAGGTTTGAACCACAAGAACAGGACGACATCACTGTATATATAAATACATCTTCGGTTTGTATTAACTTAAAAATTTATTTTATAAACGTTTGCTTATATTTTTTTTAAATTTAGTATTCGGCGTGGAATCCAACGGTACGACAAAGATATGTCGGCGTTGATGTTCGGGTCATGGGTTGCAGTCGGACACGAATTGTTGTCGAAAAGTTAGGCCTAACACAAGCTAATCCAAATGCAGTGTAAGATATTTATTAATTATTTTCTAAACTTATTAGTTCTGTACTTAATTTATTTTACGATAGGAACGGCACCGCAACTATTGAAAGGGTCGGACAAACAAATAAATGCAATTCCTCTCAATCAGTGAACAATTCATTACATAATCAGGAAAATTTTGAAGTATTTATTCAAACTCTTATTAGCCAAGCATTGGATCCTAATTTCATATCAGAAATTGTTAAAGAAAATGGTATTTCTTCAATAATTAATTAAAAATGATATAATTATTTAAAACTATTTGAAGACTAAAGTCTAAATTTATACCACAGATGAATACTTTTTATCTCACGTCCAAGAGATTGATGAAATCTGTTCCAGAAAGAAGTCGCGTTTCTTTTCGAAAGTCAAATGGGACGCCAATATTGTAAAGTGTGTCGAAACTTATCCCGAGTTTACAGTAACCGCACAGAACAATGTCGGCGATCTTCGATGTCGGGTATGATTTAAAGAATTGATTCAATGATTTATACATTAAGTAATTTGATTTAATAATATTTAAGTTATGTCACGACAATTGGAGTACACAAATAATGCAATTTAGTGGCGAACCGTACAATCAGATGACTCTCGAGCCGCAAACAGGCGTTGATCTGAAACAAACCAAATATGCAGCCTGTGATCAATGCACCGATAAAATTGTATTATACTCTCATTTACATCATCAAAAACATACATTTTTCAATAAATGTAAATCTAAAGTAAGTCATTAATCATAATATCATAAAACCACTAATAATGTGATGATTACATGAATCTGTTATAATTTAAAGGTCGATAGTATAAGAGGTGGCGATGAAAGTAAAGAATCGCATGTGATATTAGAATTATGTCTTCAGGACAGTGATTGGATTAATACGGTTTGTAATACTTTTATATTATTTTGCAAATTTATATCTAACTATAAAATATGATTTACTTTCAAATAGCTCTTTAAAGAATTGGAGGATATTTGGTTGGATTGCGACAAAATAAGATAGTCTTAAATTTTTGACTAAATTTTGCCATAAACTATATATTTGTGTCATTGAGTATAAAAATTTTTACGACAGTTTGTAATTTTGATCTAATTTAAAGTAACAGTGAATTTATTCACTTTACGCACAACTCAATTGTTTATAATATTCAAAGTTTTAATAATTGAGGTATTATTATCACTATTAAACTAATATGTTATGAGTCAAAGGCAAAGAAATTACAATAATTTTAAAAATAAATTATTTTAAGTTTACAGTAATATTTATAAATTTATTTAAATTACTATTAATTTATTATTTACAGGCATTTACTTTTTTTTTAATTTATATTAAAATATTTGTTATTGAAAACTTAAAATAATTTATTTACAATATATTCAAATTATTTATTAATTTTTTTAAATGACATCTTTTAAATATCTGTTTTGTAAATCCAGTGATTATATAAAAACTTTATTAATGTTGGAAATTAGTGATGTATTATCTCGATTACAGTTTTATTATCTCAAATGAAAACAATGTAATTATTGATATTTCAATCAATTACACGTTTTCTCATTTCTGACTTAATTATTGTAAAAAAGATGAAAATTTTTATAGACTTAAAAAATATTTTGTCTTTTGATTGTCGAAAGAAATTTTAAAAAATGGATTTATTGTTTATCAATAAATATAATTTAGTTGTTTATATAATTATATATAACTATAAATATTTATTAATACATCTAATATACAGTATAAATGTATAAATATAGGTATATATATTATATATATATATTTATTATTATTGAGATATATTATTGTAATTTTTGGTATTAGGAAAGATATTTAATTATATTGATAACGATTATTATTATTAAATTAAACGTTAAGAATATTCTGTAATTAAAGAGATTGAATGTAAATTTAATTATGAATAGCTTTGAAATTATTATTAATAATGTATTTGAATTCAAATCATTTTAAATATATGATAACTATGTGAAAAAATGTAATATAACTTTATATATATTATATACATATTATACATAAATATATATATAAATTTCATTAATCGATTGCATCATATTTAAGTTGTATTATTAATATTATTATTATTATTATATGCTCTCTTTGTTGAATCTTATTTTTAATAAAAATAATGACATAATAAAAATTTATTGAACTAATAATGTTATTATATTATTGATTACTATTAGTATTTCTTCCAAATTTGAAAGCAATAATTATTGAATTAATTTAATTATTATTTTTCAGTCCATAAGAGCTAAAAAATAATAAGTTAATTTATAATAAAATTCTTGGCATTTTGCGATCTACTGTATACATGTATTATAAATTATAGTTATACTTGTAGTGTATATTATACAGTGGCCGACATAAGTTTAGACTTGACTGTGAATGTGTTCATTTAAAAACGTTAAAATAACTTTTGATTAATCATAAAAACTTTTAGTGACTGGAAATACTTCGGCTAATGAAATCCCATAGAGATATGTGTAAATGACACTAAACTTATGGCGTTGACTATACTATTGTATAATACTGTATATAAAGGAACTCATCGTAAATGGAAAAAATTGAGAAAAATTAGCGATTATTGTAAAAATAGTATATTTTAAGCACAATTTATGGTTGATATAAAAATTTTATTTATTGTCTAACGGGAAATGACACGATTGCTTAAAATGTAAATATAATTCAAATTACTGTAACTTTGGAATAATATATTATATTTAAAAATTGTTTTAGATTAATATACATTGCAATCTTTTTAAATAGTTTTTATATACATTATAATTTTAATTACCATTATTTTTAATAATTAATAAAGTATTATAATTTTTATTGGTTTTAGTTAATGTTAAAAATACAATACTATGTACTTATGTCAATACCGATTTTTCACTATGCTATGAATTTAATGCCCAGTACTATCCAAAGCGATGATTTACTTATATACAGTAAAATATAGATTATACTATAACTATAACTCTACTTAAAATAATAAATTTCAATTTATTTCAATTTATTATAAATAAAACTATTATTCCTAATATCAAAATAACAGCAAATATATTAAGATATAAATTGCATAATTAAATAAATAAAAAAGTAATATTATGTAAAAAAAATTTAATAATTAATTGTTTGTAATACAAAGTTTGTATATTAAAATATATTTCAAACAGCAAAGAGATTATACTTTTTTCTTTCAAAAAATGCAATAATTTTTTTGTCCGAATATTTGTAATATTTGTATCTCTTATATCACTATTAATTGGATTAATTGGTCGTTATATACATAAAGTATATACCGATAATTGTAGTCTTAAAACATATAAAAATAATATCATATTTACAAATAAGATAATATAATATAATTTGAAAATCAAATTAAATAATGTATAAATAAATGATATGTAAAATGTTGCCATCATTTTTGAAACTATTTGTCAATTAGTTTATCAATTTGTTATCACTTATAATAAGTTTGGAAATTATTTGAAACTATTTTAAGAAGTTTTTTTGTTGAATAAACATTTGTCATAAAACTTATAACTAATAAGTTTTTCTTTGGATAATTTGTATAAAATTTTTCATTAAATTAATGAATGGTTAATCAAATGATTAAAATGCAAGTGAATTGAAATTAACATTTAATTGAAGAGTTGACTCAATTTAATGAAAAAATGTGTGTTTTTTGAAACCGATATGTAATTTGATTGTAATATTAATATAAAATGTAATGAAATGTTTGTATGAGTTGTGGAAAACACTGGAAACGTGAGAGTCTATGGTCTATGACTTGTGTTGTATGTGTTGTAAGTGTTGTATGTTTTGTACGCAAACTCTATAATGTTTTTTGTCAGTCATATAGTATTGTAAGGCATAGAGTGTGGCATTGAGTGAATGATTCACTAATTGTTGAGTTATTGCACGCATTGATTGTCCAAACGTTTTGAGTGACTATTCAAACACAAAGCCACTAAAAGATGCCGTCGGTTAACACCAACACATCCAATACATCCAACTCTAAGACCAATACCGGTCACACCAGTGCTGACATTCAGGAACCGCACAAATTGGTCCAGAATTTGGTCGACAAGAAGATCCGTAATCTTGAGAAACGCAAGGTTTGTATGACTTTTACCTTTGTCTGCCATTTGTCACCATTTGATATGAATTGATGTCAATTATTGTCTTAATTTTAATTACAATTACTGATTGATAATAAGTTTAATATAAAATTGAAATCAATGTTTGCTTTTACAATACAATGCTTTTTAAGTCAACTTTTAAGACAATAGAGAGAAAAGGCGTGACTTTTGATATCTTTGTTATTGTCGTCGTTTGAGTTCTTAAAGACTTCTTTAAACGATAATAACTGTTTGTATCAATTGTAGTGATCAGTCATTTTTAAATCGACTAAAATAATTATTATGTCTCAAACAAAGTGATTGATTTGGTTATATAATTGATAATTAATTTTATTTTAATTATTAATATCTGTTTTCTTTAGGCTCGTCTTCAAGAACTGCAAACTCAGGCCGAAAAGGGTCAGCAACTGGAAGAGGAACAGCAAAAAGCAATCAAGAAGTTGGATCAAGTCGTCGAAATGATTGATCTCATGAAAGACTTGAATAAATCGATTTGCGAAGTGTTAACTGAGGTAACCATTAGTTTAATAAAAGGGATGAATGCGCCCACACTTTGGACCACTTTTTTAAAAAGCGAATGTTTCTCCAAAAACGGTTTATTCAAATGTGACCTAATTTTCACTTTATATTACAATTAAATGATTGCAGAACTCAAAGCAACAGAAAAAAATAGCCAAAAAAGAACTCTTAGAGAAACAAATAGAAAGACAACAACAAGAGTTGGATCGACTCAAGACTATCCTTCAATTCCAAGACATTCTCGCAAAGTTTGAAACTACAGTTAGGACAGACTTTTCAAAGGGCACTAACGGAGCCATTGTTAGTATTAGATATAATTTGAAGGATTAGCTAATAAATTGTTATTTTTAGAAACTATCTGAAGAACAACTGAACAATTTGGACAAACTTTTCTCTGAGACAACCGATTTTTCTGAAGAAAAAATCGATTCAACGACCGAAAAGTTGATAGCATTGGCCGATGGAAAGAACAAAGAGGCCTGGAATGGGGTGACGTATCATCAACTTAAAGAACTGATGAACTCTATTGTGGACTCGAAGTACTTCGCCTCACGTGAAAAGCTAGTGACACCAACTGCTCCGACAAACACCGCTATCACAGAGAAATCTGAAGAGACGACCAAACAATTTACGAAAGAATCTGAAGCCACGAATGCGACTAAAGTAGTATTTAGTTATTCTTATGATTTATTTATTTAAATATTTTATATTTTTAGATAAATACAAATCAATTTCAGACAATTTCAACTAATATATCACAAATACCCACTCAGTTTACCGCAAGTGGCATAAGTTTTATGACAAACAACTCTGGTTTAGACAAAGATCCTGCTGTTGTAGCGGTGGCTTCGGTACCGAACACATATCCTTACAATCCTTACGGACATCAGACCAGCGATCAATTATCGATAGTTAATTCGGTATCAAATTCAAATCAATCTAAGACTTTAACATTTGACAACCAATCCTCAATTCCGACGCAAACCTTTACAAACCAACAGTACACGGCTATCATCCCAAACAACGTTCCTGTTTCTACAACTGGCGCCGTCTTCTCAGCGGTTCCCGTGACTTTGGCACAGATTCATGGACTGATTCAGCCAGACATCACTCCACCCATCACTACTGAACTTACTTTTACTAATCAACAAAACTTAATGAATTCCAACGCAATCGACAAACAAACTTCTAGTCATGAAAGACAATCACAACAACAGCATAACTTCAATGACGAGAATTTCAAAAATAATCGAATTCGTAACAACAGATTTGATGGAAATGTTAAAAGAAATGGTAACGGATCCGGAAATAGACCCCGAAATCCCACTAAAGGTATTATTAGTTAATTAAAAAATAATTTTTACACGTATTTTCACTTTCCAGGTACGGGTTATTCCAATCAGAACTCGTTTGGCAATTACTCCAACAAATATGATCCGCAAACGAATGGCAATACTTGGAACTCAAACAACAACAACAACACCTTTGGAACCGATAGGAACTCTCAGAACAACAATTTCAACGCAAACCGAAACCGGCCGCCAATGAACCGACCAAATCCTCGATCGGATAATCGGCCGCGAAATGCCAACAACAGCTATAGTAGTAATTTCAGTGCCACAGCCGCTGCCAAATAAATTAAATTTGATACTAATTATCATAAATAGCAGCAGTGGTCGACCTATATTTCATTAAAAAAAATACAAAAAAATCAACAAAATTTTTTTAGGCATAACTATCAAAAGCTATTAAATGATTATATTTTGCTTCGAAATAATTTATTATAAAAACAAATAATTTTTCTGTAAAAATCAAACATGTTTTTGTATAGTATATTCAGTGATAATTCATTTTTTCTTTATATAATTGTATTAAATTAAATCCCAAACGGCATTAACTATATATATATATATATATATCTTAGGCTTATGTCTAATCTAAACACAAATTATATAATTTTTTCATTTCTACTGAATATTGTAATTTCACTTTCAATTTATATAATTATTGCTCATATTTTCCAGTTTTGTTAGACTAAATAAATTTTCAAAGATTGATATAAATTTTCAAATAATAAAAATAATTTTATTTATCAAATGATTAATAGACTAACAAATGGTTTTCAACACATTTGTCGTTGAATTATATGATGTAATGCTTATATCTAAAGCATTCATCAATAATGTGTTGAATACTGTAGTGAAAGCAATGCAATAATTGTATGGAAATTGTTGTAAACATTGTATACTAAACTACATGTCTATAGTATATGATATATAGTAAGGGATCAGTTGTGGTGATGACTGTCATGTATTGTCATGTCTTTGCGTAACATTCGTGAAGAGTCTTTAGCAGAGAAGAGACGACAGATTGAGACTAATCCATGTTTTGATGAACAGTCAGTGTCTTTGAAATGTATTGAAATCAATAGCAACGATACCGACCAATGTTTTCGCGAAATTAATAACTTGAAGATCTGTCGGACATTTTGGTCAGCCGTAGAAAAAGTGCGCAAAAATAACTCAATTGAACCAACACTACCAAAACGTGAGGTCAGGGATCAGCTCAGAAAGTATTACATTCAAAATGGGAATCTTAAGACACTTATGGACGACAAGAATAGCATTTTTTACCAATAATTTGATCCATTGATTCAATAATTGATTGTTTGGTATTTTTAATTGATTTTAATAATTGATTTGTTTATTATTTGGTGATAATTATTGATATAAATCGCCAAAAATGATGAATAAAATGATATCAAAAGTGTTTGTCCGCAATGTCTCGACCCTCAGTCCATTGGCCGCAGCATTCAATCGGCAAAATCCAAAGCCGCAGTTATTGACCCGATTTTTTGAACAGAAAACAGGTTTATTTGGTCACCAACTATTGGCCGACGCTTCGGGTTTTTATTTGTATCGTGAAAAAGCAATTATAGAAGTGGATCAACTCGTTAAAGAAGCGCTAAGTCCTGACAGACGAAGAAAAATGGTTGAAATCTTTGACCAAATGTCAAACAATTTATGTCGAGTTGCAGATCTGGCAGAATTTGTTCGCGTCGGACATCCGTCACAACGATTCGGTCACTCGGCTGAAGAGGCGTCCATTGCTATCACCACTGAAGTCGAAAAACTCAATACTAATAAAGCTTTATATGAAATGTTAAGAAAAGTGGTTAACACTGGAGACAAATTTGCGACCACAGAGTTGGACGAGTATGTGATGAAACTGTTTCTCTTTGACTTTGAACAAAGCGGTATTCATTTAAGTGAAGACAAACGCAAACTTGTTTTGAGACTAAATCAACACATTCTTCACGTCGGCTCATACTTCATGAGCAGTACATCTCAGCCCAGAAGTGTCCCAAAGTCTAAACTTCCTGAAGAAGTTCGCGATTGCTTTCAAACACAGGGCGACAACATTGTTGTCACCGGTCTTTACAATGAATCAGATAATGAATTAGTCAGAGAAGCCGCTTATCGCGTATATCTTTATCCTGAAGAACATCAGGAGAAGCTCTTAATGGAACTATTGATGTCTCGACTAAAATTGGCTCAAATTTGCGGATTCAAGTCATACTCGCAAAGAGCTATCAACGGAAGTATAGCACAAACGCCCGAAACAGTTTGGCTACTTATTGACTCAATCACTGATCGGTTGAGACCATTGGCAGAGAAAGACTTTCAAACGATGTTAAGCCTTAAGAATATAAGCAACAAATACGCCAAAAGTGTTAAGTTATGGGATGTCCCGTACTTTACCTATCAATACAAACAAAAGAAATTTAGTCAAAATATTAATCAATGTTTTCCATACTTTTCATTGGGCTGTTGTATGGATGGACTGAATCTTATTTTTGGTTCAATATTTAGTGTTAAGCTTGAAATTTGTGAACAAATTCCGGGTGAGAACTGGTACTCGAATGTCATAAAATTGGCTGTTATTGACACACAAACTAATGAAACTTTAGGTCATATTTATTGCGATTTTTATGAAAGGAGTGCTAAACCTCATAATGACTGTCACTTTACTATTCAAGGCGGGTGTCGATTGTCAGACGGTTCATATCAATTACCTATTGTAGTGCTTTCCCTGAATCTACCGAATCCAACACCTGCTACACCATCACTTTTAACCCCTCATATGGTGGACAACTTGTTTCACGAAATGGGTCACGCGATGCACTCAATGATGGCCCGAACACCCTATCAACACATTACGGGTACGCGATGTTCAACTGATTTGGCTGAAGTACCGTCCATTTTAATGGAGTATTTTGCGTCCGATCGTCGCGTTATTAAAGCGTTTGCCCGACACTATCAAACTGGACAACCAGTTCCCGACTCTTTACTTGATATATGGCTTGACTCGAAGCGTATCTTCACTGCCAGTGAATTGCAATGTCAAGTATTTTATGCAGCATTGGATCAGTCATATCACAGTTCAGATCCATTAAGAGGTCATAAGAATACTACTGAAGTATTGGCACAAATTCAGAACCATTACTATAGTTTACCGCATGTGACCAACACTTCATGGCAGTTGAGATTCGCTCATTTGGTGGGTTATGGCGCTAAATATTACTCATATTTAGTTTCCAAATCGGTTGCCGCAAGCATTTGGCAAAAGCTTTTCCTAAAAGACCCGTTATCTTCAAGTGCCGGACAGCTATTTAAAGATCAAGTTCTAAGTCATGGCGGAGGAAATCCACCCAAACTTATAGTTGAAAACATTTTACAACAAACTATTTCAGCCAAAGGTCTCGCAGATTCACTCATTGATAATGTCTTCAATTCATACGAAGACATTACTAATTCAAATAATTAGTTAATTATTAACTAAATTATAATATAATGACTTTTATATAGAATTGCCGTAGTTTTTAATACGAGTTTTAGTCTAAATGAATTTATATTAATTGTTATATATATATATCAAATATTGGTATATTATAAATAAATTTATAACAAATATTAAAATAAAATATTAAATTATCAGTATTTTGTTGAATTGAATTTTGTGATAATCCATGTCTTACCGGTATATTGTTTGTGTCAAACTCTACATCCGATTTTACAAGTCTTAGTTCTTAAATATTTTGAACCAAAGATGTTATCAATTGTTTATCATTTTTATTATCACAAATTAGTCGTCTAATTATTACATTAATATTTCTATAATTAATTGATCAAAAATGGTTTTCCTTGTACTGTACTTTAATAAAACATTAATATAAATGCATTATTGTATAATGTAATGTATTTAAAAATTTTGTTAAATTAATGTTAATTTTATTACTTTTATATATATTAAAAATTTTACAGATTAAATAAGTAAAATTGATAACATTCAAGTGAAATATTTAATTTTATTGTTATAATATAAATATAATAAATATAAAAAATTTTAAATCAATATATTAATCTAAATATAAATATTGTTTATTAATATATTAAGTTTAATATTATAAAATTTTATTAATATTTAGATTTTTCAAACAAAATAAAATTAATTTATTATTAAGTTATTTGATTATATTATCCAAATCAAAATTTATTTTATTTACAAATCAAAATAAAAAGTACAAAAAATATTCAATTAAATTGTTAACTAATTTTTGTCTTGAAATTTAAAAAAAAACAAATCAAAACAATTAACAAAAAAAACTTTGAGCGGTCGCGACATACAAAAGTTTAAATAAAATTATAAGTAATAAATAATTTCTTTCTAATGTTTATTCATTTTATTGAAATATTTAATAATTAAGAAGAATTTAGCGATCAGTTTAGGAAATATCAGAATTAGAAAACTTTCAATACTTTATATATTAGACTAATCTGTTTGACCGAAGTTTTAGTCGAAAATCTCAAAAACTATTTTCAAATTTTGATATTCAAATTCTACATAAAAAAATAAATAAAAAATATTACCGTAAGATTGTAAAAATGTATTAAAATCATAAAATTATTATTTACTCGTATAACTGGACCTAAATACAAATGCGTCCCTTTTCAGCACCAATTGATTATTATAAGTCATGTTGTTTTAATTAAGTGTTAAAGTGCTTAAATTATTTACTGTATACGATATATATCAATAGTGTATAATAGTGCAAAATAAGTGATGCTATAATGTAATACTACTGTATTTTTGTAAAATAAATAACTTTAAAATTAAAAATGTTATATCTAATTGCAATTTTAAGAAAAACATTAAATACAATATTTAAAAAAGTAAATCATAATTTTGAATTAAATAGAGAAATAAAAAATTTCAAAAACTATTATAAAATGATAAAAATTATTACATGTTTTTATTAATTTAATACATGAAAACATATGACTGTTACTATAAATTTTGGTAATAAACTACCGGTAATTGTCATCATTTGTTTCGTAATACTTTGTGCGATACAATACATGACAAAGACATTCATTTTGTTAAATAATGTCTGAAAATAACTCTCAAAACAAGCCTTTCTTCTTCTTTTCCTTGTTTTTACCATCAATTTGTAATCTATTATGAAATACATATAAATATATTACAATCATTTTATTTTTATATTAATGTGTTGTTAATTTCAAAAATTTACAATTTTGTGACAAGTATTCGCAATAAATATCGATATCAATAAAAATAATAAAAAAGTTTGAAATTAAAATATAATTTTACAAAACATTGAATATATTTGACTAATAAAAACAAATTTGAAAACAAGTATTATATATAAGTAAACAATAATCTCAAGTGATATAAAAATATCTACATTTGATGGCATATATTGATATTTGATACAGATTTGTCTTTTCGTCTCAATTTTTGTGATTTTTTATTAGTAGTAGTCATTGCATTCCTATTCACGTTATTTTTAATTAAAATAATTATTTAATTACATAATTAAAAAACCAAAACATAAAAATAAAAGCACTGGAAATGTATGCGCAATTCAAGCTCAGGTATGTTTCAAGAATTTTTCTTCCATTTGCCTAAAAAGCTGTTTTTGCCAAAAATACGTGAATTTCGATGACTTGAGTTAAAAGTAACCTCTGGAAGAGCCGTCGATCTCATGAAATAAGCATCACTTTCACTGTAATTCCTAAAATGCGTTCAATAAAACTGTTTCGTTTTACAACTATTTTAACTTATTTGTAAACTATAAAAATGTTAACTAAAAAATTGTTAATCCAAAGCTAGAAATTTTTACCAAACTTTCATATTAATGACTGTTAATTGATAACTACCGGTAAGTAATTAAGACAAAGACATGCATCAATTAAATCTATAATAACAAGCATTTTATTATTTTTAAAGAAATAAGCATTTCATCGATAAAAATGGCGAATACCGTAACCAATAGACAGATCAAAGCAATTGCCACAAAAAGACTAAATCATTAGATAATTGAAGACAACTCACTCTCGCATATTGTTATCCAATGTATTGACTCTTCTTATTTCTTCCATATCTTTGGAAATCAATTCAAATGCCGCCAACTCTTTCTCAAACGCTTGTCTTCTATCTTCAAGTTCTTGTCTTTGTTGATCTAATTTCTTTATCATATCTTCATTACGTCGCGTCAACTATTGATAATTTATTTTAGTTTTTAATTTTTATAATAAAATAAATAATAGCATTAAAATAAAGCCAAGACATAATTGTCGGTCAAAAGAAAAAATGCAGAACTTATATCAATTTTTTTTTGAAAATATAATAAAAGCATAGATTTTATTACTGTAACATCAGAACTATCTAATTAATAATAATAATTGAATAAACTTAGAAAATACATTGCAAACAATTTTCTTTAAAAATATCACATTACGGTAAATCAAAAATAAAAAAATAAAAATTATCACAAAATTATAAAATAAAAACCATAACATTAAATAAAATTATTTTGATGGAGAACTTCAACACTAAATCTCGACTTTATGTTAGCGATACATACGTCAGACTCGGATTCCTTCAGTTTGTTGATCTTCTCATTGACTTTCATTTCAAAGACTTGTTCCATCTCTGCCTCCATTTTCTTCATCTTCGTCTGATGTTCTTTCTTTTCTTCCTCCATCTGTGCCAATGGATTCCTGTAATGACATGAAAATATGCATTTATTACATCACATATAATGTTAAAATCTTATGAATTAGTGTAAATAATTTTTAAATGCAAAAAATATATAAACATTTGTAAATTAACATTCAATAATTATAATCTTGTAATTAATAATATAATCATAAATGATTGACAAAATAATGCAAAACTTAGTATCAATGAAACACATGCCGATAGTATTTGCAAACTATAAACAATTAAATTTCAAGTGAAAGTTGAATGCTTAACCCTAAAGTCAATGTCTATTACTTACCAGAACACCATCTGAGAGGTGTTCTTCGATATCCTTTGAGAGCAAAGACTAACAGATTAGTGGTATAAATGAATAAAATATAGAGTATTGAGTATTTAATTTAAGATTCATATCAGCAAAGATTCATCCATAGATTGAGACATCAATAATAAAAAAACTAATGTTAGTCTTATATAACTTATACAATCACTTAAAAAGGACAAACATATTATATAATAAACAATAGATTTGATGTCTCACTTGTTCATGTCTTTGATCGCTTTTTTGTTTTCGGGTCCAATGCCTGTCAATTTACGGCACCGGAAGTTCTCATAGTGAACATTATTAGTTGTGTCCAACAGGTCTAACATATAGGTGCGGATCAATAGATTTCTGAGGGCAACGAAATCGCAGTGTTCCATATTCTCAACTATTTTTATATAAAATATCATTAAACATATTATACAATAAATAGAAATACAGTTAACTCAATACTTACTGTCCACACAACCCCACGGATATTTACGCCCACGTTTTCGGTCACCATTGGCTTCTATCACATAATTACTTCCGGTCACTGCAAATGGTATTCGAGCTTTTAGTGTCTTATTAGCCTTTCCTTCTTCATCGTCATCACAATCAGGAAACTCATAAATTTTGATCTTATGTTGAGTGATGTCATTCATTACCTATTATTAATTAATTAATTATAAGTCAATTACATAAATAATGAATAAAGACAAACATTTTTCTTGAATTGTAAGCATTCCTCGGGAGTTAATGTATCTGCTTTGGCGATCACGGGAATGATATTGACTTTGTCGTGCAGATGAAGCATAAACTCGATGTCCAACGGCTTCAATGAGTGACCAGAAGGTTGAATAAAATATAGACAACAGTGAACCCTATTGTCCTGAATGTGCGTCCGATGTACACGAGTCTCAGCATTCAAATACTCTTCATATCGATTCTCTATAAAATTAGTTATCGGTTCCCAACAGTTAGAATTATCGACAGAACAACCATAGCCGGGAGTGTCAACAATCGTTAGGTGAAGATTAACAGTCTTCTCTTTGAGCAACACTTTTGTAGTCTCGACCTCCACTGTCTTTGTGGACCTTTTTGAAGGACCGGGATATTCATTGGAATATATGTCCGTCAGAAACATGGAGTTGACAAGAGTCGACTTTCCTAACCCGGACTCACCTAAAAAATCATAATTAATAATCAAAATACTTAGTCTATTCGTGATATACATACCGACAACCATTAATGTAAATTCAAATCCCTTTTTAACTGTTTTGCGATGGATTTGATTGGGAAGATCTGAGAAACCGACCAATACATCACTGTCTTTGGTCAGCACCGGCTTGTTATCGTTGGTACGGTTCGAGTGTGTCATTGGATCGATACGATCCCTATCTCTTGATGAGTATATGTCTTTAGTGATGGCACTCGACGTCATGGGTGAGGCAGTGGTAGAGCCGTTGTCGCGAATGAAGAGTTCACGTTTTGCGTTCAGCTATATATCAATACAATATATAAGTTAGTCATCAATAGGTGGCACTCAAACACATAACAATTCATTCAATAATTGTTATCAAAATTACAATAACTTTCATAATTATCACTTAAATGATATTAAATAAGTTATTGGATAACATATTGTTTGAAGTTTCAAGCATTGATTTTATGTATTATGTATTACAAGTAAATTATAAATTATAATACAATTGACACAACATTTTGACTATAAGTTAAATATTCTTTAAATTCCTATAACTATCAAACTCTTTATCTATTCATTAATTGACTTATTATTACAATTTTCAATACCTCTTTAAAATAATGACAAATGAATCAAATATTATAATTAATGTTTTTATATCATCTGTTATACAATCTTTTGTATTAATAATAATAATTAATAAAAAATATATTTACATAAATATATGAATACATGGACTTGATTTTTAAAACAGTTTGAAACTTGAGTTTACAATTTGAGAAAATATACTTTAGTTTACAAAACAATTATTAAATAAAATATTATATTATTACACTATTCAAACTTGATATCAAATAAAAACTATTATATTATAATGTTTTACAATTAATAAAACGGATATTTTGCTAAAAATGAGACTCAATTATATACTGTATATACTTTATACAGTATATGTTATATAATAAAAATATGATAAATTGATTGTAATTCAAAAAGTATTTGTCAAATGATATGATTATTGTCTTATAAATATGTCAAGCAATGCAATACCAGAGCCAATACTCACTGAAAAGTTTTCATTGCGAGCTTCTGGAGATGTGATCTGTGGCTCATAAATCTTATGTCTTTGATTGAGCCGCTCTACACCTGCAAACCTATAACCCGAACCCCCATAAGTGGGTGTAGTAGGCGTTCGGGCATTAGTTGATCGGGGAGTCGATGGGGTGGGTGTTGGAGAAAACTCACGAAGAAATTGCTCTTTAAGTTGCATTGATTTCGAGACATTGGTCGGTGAGGACATAGATTGAGTGATATTTGATATGTCATTAAGTGATGGATTTTGTGGTGAACTTAATGGTGGGTATAATTCTTGACCGGGAGTTAGGCTACGAGAGCCAACCTGTTCCCAACCGGCAACCAATGTCTGAAAAGCACCCAAATCTTTGGGTACATTTCGAGTAGTATTTGAATTACCATACATTGAATGAAATTTACTAAATGTATCATTAGTTTGAGATAATATCACATCTTTTTTAAAAACATTCAATGTTTAGAAAGTGAAAATAAAATGGATATTATTTTTGACAAATAATAGCTGTTTGCTATGTTTGGTAAGTGATGTGTTAGTGTCTCTCAAAACACTGTCTTAAAGTTTATTTGCATCAAAAATGTTTAGCAAAAAAACAGATGTTTCACTGATAGAGACAAATGAGTAAACTAGAAGTGATGTCTTGGAGAGACAGACACCAAATGAGCCAATAATACATTAAACTTAGCTATTCATAGACACAAGTGATGGCATCGGAGTCGACGATTGGATGGCATGTACTGTACGATCATTATAAAGCATTTTCATATCATATCAATATCTATATATCAATGAATATATTTGTTATCCATTTGTATCAAACAATTCAAGTAATAAGATTAACATTACATTACAATAAACAAAAATTTTTACTTATATTCACATCATTTGATATACAAATGAACATCAGTTGAAATAAACAAATATAATTAATTTGTGGCAAAATATTGATAGATCAGTCAAATATATGTTTTAATGTTTATATTAATATTGTACTAAAGTTGTCGGTTACTAACAAAACAAATAGTTAATCATTTAAAAAATGTTTTTCATCCCAAAACAACTGCAATAATCACTAAATGGGAACAATTGTAAGATAACTTAACAATAACTATAAATACAAATATTGTTTTATAACAATGAAAATTCTAAACTTTACAATTTTATCACATTAACTGATAAATTGATATAATGTAAAAGTACATTATTTTACTAAAACAAAACAATATTTATCAAATGAAAATAGCAAAAGGAAATTAATCATAAAAATTTATTTTTAATACAAAATAAAACGGAAAAAATGAAAACATTATAATGTAAAATAAAGTTATAATATTTATGAGAGACTGAAATGGATTCATACTGTAATAAAATGAATCAATCGATTATTAAACTAATGGATAAAACATCTATTTTTTCGTGTATTTATGACTATATATCCACTAATCAGTGATATTACTGACAATATAGCAAACATTTTAATACATTAAGACATAAACCGCATATAAAGCATATCTCGTGACAGATCACCGCTCATTAGTTTGTCCATCATTTCCGTCATTTAATTACCGCTGCGACAAATGTATGCAATCATTGCGGATATCGTTTTATTTACATTAACATCTAATTAGTATATTATTAATATATATAATATAATACAATCAATTAAAAAAAATTATTAAATTTTATTTTAAAGAGTTTATACTAAATATTATTGTTAAATAAGTTGTATTTACTTAAGTTATATTGATTGTCAATGAATGAATCATTTATCATACAAAGATTCATAATTTATAAATCAAAAATGATATTTATACAAATTAAATAATTAATTAATTATATTATAAAACATTGTTTAATTTTTCGTGTAAAAATTCATCAATCAATAGCAAGTGATTAAATTATTAGGTAATTTATAAATATATTTTTAATTAAAACTAATGATTATAATTTATAACTATAAAAATAGTTTTTTAATATTAATCATTTGTTGAATTCAAATAAGTATTTTGCAAAAATTAATCTGAATTATATAATAGGATATTTGATAACAAATTACTGTATCATAAATAAATTATAATACAGTTAACAAAAAGTATTATATTATTCACATACAATTAATATACTTTATATTATTATTAATACCGTATTATTTGTTAATTTTCAATACAATAGATTGAATTATTAGATAATTAATTTAAAAATGGGTGTATTTTCAATTAAATACAACAAAGCCTTTTAAATAATAAACTAATAATATGTAGAATAAATTAATAGATTGTATTCAATAATTTGTCAAATTTTTATTGAAATTTTAAAATATGATAATAATATTAACTAATGTTTTTACCTGTTTTGGACAACAAAAAATATCTTATAATTTAATCAATTTATTATTTCATGACTATATTTAACTTTGAAAACAAAATTATCAATGGGTTATATCTAAGTTTAGCTAACATAGTAATATAATTTATATTTACCGATTATATTATATATTTATAATCTATGTATAGTACATATGTATTAATATAAATCAGTGGTAATAAATAAAATACAAATTGTGTATATTATTGTTTAGATAAAACATGTGATTTTGGGAAATTGCATATTTCATAAAACAAATGTATGAAATAAATAAATAATAAATTATTATTGTATAGCATATAAATTGTAAAACAAATCAATTAAATTATAATAATTATCTTTAATATCCCATAATTTACTCTTTATTTTAATGTCTAATACATGTCCACTCTTTCTATTAATTCTTATAATTACAATAAATCATTTAAAATATAGATATTTATATGATATATGAATATACAGTAAAGTTAACGTGATTTACAATAAACATATTAATTGTAATTAAATGTAAATTTTATCATTCAATTGAAATTTAAATCATTTAAAACATCAAATATATGATATTTATGTATACGCTTTAACTCTTAGATAATATATAATAAATATTACAATTATAACCAATAAAAATGTCAAATTAAAACCAATTTAAATAAATTGCAATAACTGACAACAATTTTACATTTAATTTATTTTTTATTTATTTAATAGTTTAACTACCGATAAAATGCGTTAACATATTTTAATAAAACACACAATTAAAATGCAATCAAAATATTGTTTTAATACAAATATATTATATATAAAAATTTTAATAAATTATTAATTTTTTTAATTGAATCTATTTTTTAAATTTAAATCTTAACATAACGTCTGAATTAACAGTCAATGCAATGATTAATCAATGAATGAGTCATTCATTGAATATAAATATTTTTAACGATAAATACTGTATATTATAGTCAATATGTTGTGTCTATAGAGTAGTAGTCAATGAAAACAATGGTTTTATTTGTCAAAAGACTTACCATTTTTGGACATCTCTTGTATGCAGTAATTCATGTATTGATGTATTTAAATGATGAATATTATCGCAAATTTGATCACAAAATATATTATTAATAAATAACAAATTTATGAAAAAAAAAATAAAAAATCAGTTTAATTATGAAAAAGTGTTGGTTTTGTCTGACAAACAACACAACGCCTATCCCTATGAATGGCGCGCACAACACATCACATCCCTATCAATGCTTAACAATATATTGCATACAAAGGGATGTTAAGCACATTGCGGTCCAGTGTTGCCCCCATAGCCCACACCAAACATATACAGTACAGTATTATACTGTAGTTTATATTAAACTTGTTTTTATACCATTGCTTATTGATATTATCTATATAAACAACAAACTAAATTATATTACACATGTTTTATCAATTATTTGTAGACAAATTGTAGTCAAACATTGAAAAATGATTTATCCAAATATAATAAATTATCAAGTTGATTTTTACTAAATTATGCATGCTAATATTTCATTTATAATTGATTACATTATTTTTATTTGTCAATTCAGTATATTAATAATAAAACTCTAATATAATCTCTAATACCGGTATATAAAAGTTTATGTTAACTTTACATTAAAACTTATTTTGTTATAAAAGTTATAATTTATAAATTATAACATACAGTTTGCATAACTATTGTCAATATTTTGTTTCAAAGTTTTTTTTATTGATATAAAAACATATTTTGTTTATATAAAAAACTAGTCAGTATTTGTTTGCACTGAAAATAAATAAAAAGATAATTACAGGTAAAGTAATGTAAAGAAAATACTGTATTGAAAGTGTATTCACTTAAAAAAATCAATTCATTTAATACAACATTTCACAAGAATTGAGATTTTTCTTTAAATAATAATTGAGTTCTTAATTATTTAAATATCATTTAATTGTGAAATAAGTTAAAACTGATTTTGTATTTTATATAAAAGATTCCATTGTATTGAATATTATACAGTATTTGATATTTAGTTTTATATAAATATATATTATAATTAAACTACTGTGTGATCAAAATTTTATTAAATATCATAATTATAGTGTATTATCATACATTGTGTGTGATATAATATATACAGTACAGTATACATGTATAATGTAATGCAAATTTATTTGAATATTATTTATACAGTATTATATGGGTATAATTTTTTTATACCGGTATATAAATAAACTAAAAAAATACATTCAATTAAATTCGCAATTTTCTTCTGATTAATTTTAATATAAATAGATATAATTTTTTTAATTTGTAAAAATGTCATAAATAAATTTAACTTTATAAATTTCAGTATTTTAAATGTTATATATTTTTAATTGATTATAAAACTAAACTTTAATTAAACTTTAATAAAGTAAAAATCTAAATAATAAATATGGTAAATTATTATATATTTGTGATATTTAAAATTTTTTTATTTGTATCTAAATTAGAACTATCTCTATATTTTATGATAAAGGCTACTATTTATATAATTATATTTTTATTTTAGTATAATAAATACATTTAAATTAATCTTGATCATTTTTCTTGCCTTTTAATACATGAATATCAAAAATATCTTCTAAAGTAACCCTGAAGTAGACATCCGTTTTTTTACTGTAGTTTAAATAACGTATTACTGTAATTGTAGACAATTTGTCAATAAAATGTCAATAAAATAAAATTTATTTGAAATCATTTTTTATTATCAACTCTTTTATAATAAAATATTTTTATCATTAATTAAAACTACAGTACAATTAATGATAAAGTACTTAACGGCCAAATAAATAGCAAAAATGATATTTTAATTATCGTAATTATTAAAAATAATGATAAATTAATTAGAAAATGATTTCCAATCTATCATTTAAAATGTATTAAATTATAAATTATTTATTTTAAGAATGTTATTAATTAGTTTACTTTTGAAATAAAATTAATATAAAATCAATAGTTTTCAGTGTATTTTAAATGTGAAGACTATTTTGAGAATCTGTACATCAAATCAACTCTACTTTTTTCATATGTTATATAAATTTATAATTTGTATCAATAATAAAAATTATAAAGAATTTTTGAATAAAATTAACATTTAAATTCAGTTAATTCTTATATAATTGTATGAAACAATTAATATTATTATTACAGTTAAAAGATAGTATTTTTCACAATCATGTGTTGCTCACAATTTACTGCTCCTTATTCTCATTTAAATAAAATCTTAAAATAATTTTAAAAACTCTTAATGTTTTTTAATAATAAATTTGTGTTTTGTTTTATAAGAGAATATATTTTGAGTTTAATAATAAAGGAATGGATTATAATATTTAAAATCAATTAATTATCCGTTTGTTTAGATGACATCCAAAACACAATACAAGAGATGACTATAAAATTATTAATTAAATATTACATTAAAAGGCAGTTCCTTCTGGTGGTTGACTTAATTTCATATTTTCCTTTAGAGTCATCGCTCGTCTCAGTTCTTGTAAAACCGTTTTAATTGAATAAATTCTTTGCCAACGAGAGAGCACCGGAAGAGATCGTCTGTCAACCTATCATAACAAGACATCATTCAATTGTATTGATTATCACATTATTTATATATCACAATAAAATCATGTCAGTCATGCAAAAAATCTATACAATTGATAAAAGGTGTCAATCGGTGACAATAAAGACACCGAAGCCGGTAATAACATACCAGTCCTGTCGTTTCATTGATGCCATTCATTTTAATTTTGGATATAAACCTAACAGCTGGCGGGTCGTCGGGATAATTGTGACCGCACTCTACCTTAAGACTATAAATCCTATTCTCGTATGGCGTCTAAACAAATCCAAAAAAACAAAGATATAAAATACAATTAGTAAGACATGAGGGCGTGTCAGGTGTGGTCAAACAGACCCTCGGCGGACCGATGATCATTCCTGTCCAGTGTGATAGTGTCATATCCGAGTCATCTTCGAGACCCCATGAGATGGTGCCGTCACCGACACCTTTCTGTCCCTGTTCTAGCTCTTCGAGCAAACGAAAGTTTCGCGGAACCACAACACCTGTCCAGTGATACAACACTTTGTCAACACAGGCGGCACATCAATCATATCACTTCATGTCTCAACCGAATGTGTCTCAATCAAGCTGTCAAATCAACTTTAAGACAAACCATTTCTTATAAAATGGCGAATCAATGATTTTGGTATTCAATTTAATGACGGATTTCATGGAAATGACGGTTCAGTGACAACAATGACTTATCGATGGCAACACACGTGAGATACACGGATCGAGACATTGTAATGATATGTTGGCCAACAATGTGGTAATAAGTGTCTATGACTTACCTTCGGTAGAGTTGGTGGCCATGCCTTCAATGGTAAGACGACAGACAATAATAATATTGCGATCACTGTATCAGTCAGTCTATCACTGTATGAGACTTAAGCACTGATTCACACTTCAACACAAACGACATCTCGTGTCTTATACATCATTACATCCATTGCTAACATCAGTGACCATCACTTTAAACAATCATTTATAAAGACATCTAATTAGTGATCACTAAATGTTGATATTATTCATATTAGTGTTAAAACAATTAGTGATAATCAATAAGTGATAATAATTTGATGGTTTTGTCGATAATCACAATCAAAGTTTGCAAAACTTTCATATTTTTTCTGCCATTAGAGTACAACCCCTTAAACACTGGTTTTTTATATGATTTGTTTGTCATAACATTTGATTGATTTTTGATTAACATTTGATTATAATTTATATTGTATTGCATTTGTTGTAATCACCAGACAATCAATTTGATGGCAAATCGCAAGAGAAATATATCCTTTGCCCGACCAGAAGAGCCAGAGTTCATCAAAAAACTTAAACAAAGAGCTGGTATTGTCAAAGGACCCGATGTCGACACAAAAGTTTGGCTAATAAGACACTGTTAATCAAAACTATCATTTAATTAATGTTTAGTCTTATATTTAGAGAGAAGAGTTACCTAAAGTACAATTTGATGACTTGGAGGACAAGGATGAAGAAAAACCTGTTGTTGTGGTTATCAAGAAAGGAGATCTGTCTGAGGATGAAGTGAAACAATTCAATGATAAACAACAAGCTATTCGTATGATTTCTTTTAACCATTTTTTGTCGATAATTATTGACTCAATTGTTTGATATTTATCTGAATAGAGGAACAAAAAGATATAAATGACGGAAAAATTGTGTTTAAAAAACCCGATTTAAATCTGTTGAATGAGAAGAATGCTAAAAGTGGTAAAAAAATTACACAACAAGAGAGTCAAATGAAAAGTATTAATAATAAAAGTTTGCTATCTTTTGATGACAATGAAGATGAGGAAGATTTTAGCGATTAAGTCACCCATTAAATTCATTTTGTATATAATTTTAAATAAATTTATTTTTATTTAGTTTTCAAATTATAATTGTATAATACAATTACAAAATAATGCTTGAAATTTGTCAAAAGGTTAAAAAGTTAATAGCATTTTAGAAATAATTAATAATGTGTTGAATTCAAAAAAGTCCCGTCTCTTCCTATTTGGTATATCTATATTGTCCTGTCCTGTCCTGTCCGTCCCGTTTTGTCTAATAATACAATCGGTATATTTATTACAGGTAATTATCGCATATTTTCTTACCTGTAATCTTATAAACCAAATATTGTGTGTGTGTTTGTCTGACACAGTGTGTGACAAAATAAACTCAAATTAATCGCCATTTTCTATTTTGCTGAAGAAATATGAAAATTTTAATACTGATCCTCAATGCTATACATTATTTTTTGATGTTTTTACACAATTCTAAACTTAAAATTTAAAAACAATTTTTTTGTACTTTTGCCACCAGTGTCTTTATGTTCCTCAGGAGATATGATAATTTTAAAGCTGATCCCCTTTACCTTATTTTTGATGCTTTATCCATATCTGAAGTCAAAATTTTAAAATTGCATAAAATGCGGACAGAAGGACATAATGAATTCAAAGACGTACTTCTTTCAGGAGTTCGTGATTATATAAACAGAATTATTGTAAAAATAATTTATATAAAATTTAAGTTCAAAATACCATTAAAACTTAATTTTCTAAAAATAAATAAAACATAAATTGTTTTAACATTTATCAAAAAATTATTTGGAAAATAAATGAAAATAATTTCTTTATGAAAACATTTAATAATAAAAAATTTACTTTTAATTTATAAGAGTTTCTGTATTTTAGCTGAGAATGTATAAGATCTCAAAAACTAAAAGAAATAATCAAATTATAGTATTAAATAGATTACTAATGACAACAATATTCAAAAATACATGTTTTAAAATTTTTAATTATATTTAAATGTTTTTAATAATATAATTTGAATAATTATTTTGATAAATAAAATAAAAATACAATTTTAACTTATAAAATAAAATCACCCTGCATTAAATTTTAGTTGAGTTTATATTACAAAAATAACAGTTCATCTTTTTATTGTAATTTGTTAGATAATATATTTTTTATATATATTAATAAAAATAATTTTTTTATTATAATTATTTATCAAATAAAATTAACAATTTATTCATTTTTATATTACTATTAATTACTTTATTTATTACTTTACTATAGTTTAGTTTCAATTTATAACTAAAATTACTTTCAATTATTGTTTCATTTAATTTTAATTTTCAAACTCATAGTACATTAAAAACCAGAATTGATTTAATAATGTCTTTATTCATATAAATAAAAATAAATAAAACACAAAATTAGATATAAACCAATTAAGAATGCTAGAAAGCATTTTCAGAAAAAAAACTTGAATAGCATTGAAAACCATTAGTTTGTATAATTATAGCGGCTATATAGTAACATATAAATTTAAAAACTGGTCAAATATACATAATATAAATATTGTCATGCAAGTTATCAAATGACTCAATATGACAAAATAAACACAACTTTAGTCATGTAGAGTATCAATTGACTCGGTATGACAAAATAGACTACTCATGTGTGTTATAAAATGATTTAGTATAACAAAATAATCATCTTTAATTATACTTTTGCCGCTTATACTTATTCTTTATGTTCCCGTAGATATCAAAATTTTAATGCATATTTTTATTCTTATTTTTGATGCTTTATTCAAATCTATAATTAAAAAAAAAATTTCTAAAATTTTCTTATACTTTTGCCGCCATTTAAAAAAAATTATGCTGATATATTATATAATAATTTTGATGCTCTTTACAATTCTAAACGTTAAAATGTTTACCTATTTTTTTACTTTGGACGCCATTTTCTTTGTTCCCGAAGAGATATAAAGATTCTAATGCATATTTTTATGCTTGTTTTTGATGCTTTATTCAAATCTATACTTAAAAAAAATTCTTAATTTTTTTTTACTTTGGCCGCCATTTTATCTATGTTCCTGAAGAGATATCAAAATTTTAATACAACTTTTCAATACATTATTAGTAGTCCTCTAACCGAATCTGAAGTCATAATTTCAAAATTCGCAAAAAAATATGCTTCAGACACACACACACACACACACACAGACAGACAGACTCAAAAAGCCATTATAGATTTCAGTAAACAAAACTTCAAGTTTTTTTTGAAAATATAATAATTTAGATTTTAAAATATTAATACATGTTTTACATTTTTAAATAAACGTTTTATTAATAATAAATAAAATATTAGTATCTTTAGAATAATATTATGAAAATAATAATAATTACATACATTAAGTGATTTTACTAGTTATCATATAAACACTTTTTTTTATAACATTTTAATTTATATTATATTAAAAAGTAAATTTTAATTTATAGTAATAAACTATAATAACTTTAATACTTATCAAAAATATTGAACAGAATATTAATTTAAATCATTGTGTGATATAATATAATACAACTCAAGAGTAGTTATGTTTTTACTTAATTATAATATAATATTTATTGTAGATTTTAAAAAATTATTTTATTTTATTCTTTTTTTATTTTTAAAAAATTTTAATATAAGTTTAAATAACATATTATATTATATATAAATGTATACTAAATGAGAACTAATTCTAAAAATATTTTAACAATAAATTTATTGATTTGTAAAATATAATGTAATTTAATTCGAGTTATTAATACTGTATTGTTATAACTTGAAAAATATTATAGTATTTCTATATATAAAAAATCGATATTAAACTGAAGATAAAATTTATATCAATTATAAAATAACGGGTATTATTATTATTATTATTATTATTATTATTATTATTATTATTATTATTAATTATTATTAATTATTATTAATTATTATTAATTATTATTAATTATTATTAATTATTATTAATTATTAATTATTATTAATTATTATTAATTATTATTATTATTATTAATTATTATTAATTATTATTAATTATTATTAATTATTATTAATTATTATTAATTATTATTATATAATTATTATTATTAATTATTATTATATAATTATTATTATTAATTATTATTATATAATTATTATTATTAATTATTATTATATAATTATTATTATTAATTATTATTATATAATTATTATTATTAATTATTATTAATTATTATTTGTTTGTTTGTTTGTAACACCTCTAGTGTTTTGGACCGTAAAGATGTGTTTTATTAATAATTAAAAGCATTTTGAGATATAATAGTTAATCGATTGAGTGATGAACTGGTTATAGCTGTATATAACATATATGTATATATAGTTTAGTTAATATTAGTTAAGCAGTGATTGAATGGTGAATACAATGGCATCGATTCATATGATTTTATTATTCAATTAAATCAATAATAGTATAGACGTTGTCATCACTTAAAGATTGTACCAAAAAGTAAGACAAAATGATTACATTTATTATAATCACCGCATTTTACTATCACTTAATGTCTATATTGTCCTACAATTGATTGATACAACTGTTATGAGTGACGGCATGTCATGAGTCGGTCGATAATATGACAGATATTTTGTATGATTTGATAATTGATTTAAGCATTGATTTCAATGATTGTCGTATAGTATTGACAACTATTATGGCATATATTTGACTGTAATTTCAATGTGTGTTTGTATTGAATATTTAGCGCCAAACTTACTGTCAGTTCAATACAATAGTATTACTTTCAATATATGCAATGCATTTCAATGGCATTATGTGTCCATTAAATTGCAATTTTTACTAATAACTTAACTCTACTTAAATATTACTACATTTATATAACTTAATGTTATAAAATTAATTTAAATTTAATAAATTTTCATTTTTAATTAGTAACTCAAATGTCTAATAACGTAAATCATCGTCATATCCAATATGATAGCTATTTTGAAATGTAATTTAAATATTTAATTAATGAAATTGTAAATGTATTTGTATATTACTGTATAATTTATTAATATAAATTGATATTTATATGTTTATGATTTTATTAATCATTAAGTTTTGTTGAATTTTAGCAAAAAATATTTTTTGTTAGTTTTTTCAGAAATTTTAACAAATAGTCAAATATACAATTTATTTGAATAATATTGAAAACGGCACTTAATTATGAAACTAAATTAAACTGTGTCAAGGTAGTTACAATATAATAATTATTATTTTAGAAAAAAATATATCTTGAAATTTATATAAAATAGCATATTGTACAAATTTAATTTTTATATAGTTTATTACTTGCAATAATAATTGTTTAGGAATATAATGTCAAACAAATAAAATAATCAAAATATTATAGTATTAGTTGATTACACTTACACCACTTTAATTTATCTAAAATAATTATTTGGTTAAAAATGTGGTTATTTATAAATTTTTTATGAAACATATTTCATAAATTGTATTAAAATAATTATTTGTGTTTATGAAATATTTTTATTTGAAAAAATTTCAATTATAGCTACGAATATTTTTTTTTTTAAATAGCATTATTATTACATGTAATAGTAATAACTAAAGTTAGTTATGTTAGTAATAGTTTTAGTTATTTAAGTGTATTTTTATAAAATTTTTGGATATATAATATATTAATTTATAAGATTATATACATTTTACATAATGTATATTTATACATTAGTATTGTTTTTTTTAATTTTTTTAATTTTAGTTATTTAACTAAACTTGTAGAAATCAATCAAATACTGTACATGATGAATTTAGTTTTTATTAGTAATTAATTAAATATAATTAATAATGACTATTAAATATATAATATAGAAAATATAAGTTATTTATAGGCAAAAAATGAATTGAAGTCCTAATTAAAAGTGATGTCAGTTTGTATTATATGAAGTGACTCTTGTAATGTCAATAAATGGTAAGTCCTATTGAATCCATATTTAATATGCATTCAACTATAGGCGCGTCTCAGTTGAGACAAACGCCAATTTATGCCCAAAAAGTGGCGGAATCTGTGTTTATATCAATTTTATTAATTAATTTGATAAAATCAGACAAATGATAGTATCCGAAAACTTAATAGTTATTCATAATAATGAAATGGTCGGTCAGTGTCCGACCCGACCGGTCGGTTATATATAAATAATGATAAGTGCCGTAACAAAGCCAGTGGCGTAACTGCGACCGTCGGAGTGGACGCCACTGGCTATGAGCTGAGTTGAGCGTTGATTACAGTGGCGTAGACTGCGGGCGACAACCAATGATTGTGCTGGCAGTCTGTCAGTGCAGTTAGGCTAACACACACACCACACACACACACAGGCAGTGCTGTCGACCCCCGTTTGTGTTGGTTTTGGCAGCACTTGTGTTGAGCGATATTCGCCCCCAAAGTGTATGCATTGGTTGTGTTGTAGAGTGTAGTCAATGAAGTGCTGTGAGTGTGAACTTCTGGATAGTCGAGGAAAGGTTGGAAAGGAGGGCACCAGCGCTACCAACACTACCAACACTACCAGTGCTGACTCGTACCGCCATTTTAACTGTGATTGTGATTAGCGCTGACTCGCCATCGCTAACAATATCATTGATACATATGATTAACCGCACCATCAGGTCATCTGTCATATTCCGACCGCTGTGTTGACCACTTCTCATGACTTCTTAGTGTTTGATCATTTCGATGATAATTAACTTCTTTGTTTACTACCATCACATTAGGTTTGACTTATAATCATCGACTAAATCGACTGATATAAAGCCGACGAGATTACACCAGAATATTATCCAGAATTGACATTAAGTTAATAAAAAACAAGTGAATTGATCCAAATGGCAGACAATGTTATTGATGTGATTGATTTGGATGGAAATGACGACTCAATGGTTGATAATGACGATTCAATTGCCGACAACGAGGACTCATTGGTCGATAACGCAAAGGTTGTGACAAATAGTACACTCAAAGATGAGACAAACGGTTCAATCAATGATAACGATATAAATGATGACATAAATCAAGAAAATCATGAGTCAATTGCTGATGATTTGGAAGATAATGAAGAAATAATTGAAGATGAAGACGATATAATCATCAGCGATGAAGACAACAGTCAAAGCACTACAAATTCATTGACCAAAAAATTTGCAAACAATGACTTACGAAATGAACAATTGAAGAGTTTAGACGCCACACCTAACGATTCAATGGACAGTACATCAATGACATCGTCCACTCAAAAGTCTGGCCAAAAGTTAGCCAACGATAGTATAGCTAAAACATCATCAAATGAATTGGACCAAAATGCTGATGATATTGAAGTGCTTTCAGTTAATGAATCATCTGATAATAAATCACAGCAATTGTTGGAAATGGCTCCAGAAATTGGTGATGAAGTGACCGGTTTTCCGGATTATTTAAAAAAAGTTGTCTCTATTGGTAAAAGAATTGCCATCAACAAGAAGACGTGGAACAACATAGATGTAGACGTGAATGACTCGATTCTTGATTGTCCCTCACAAGTAGTTCCTCTTATGATCCAAAAATCAAACAAATTTCCTGAAAAATTGAAAGAACCTCAAAACGAATCGCAATCTACTTCTGATATCTCGTCAGCAACTGTCGGCCAGAACTCAAAAAATATGTTAACAATTGCCGACTTCTATACAAGTTCTGTGGGAAAACTATTAGTAGGTCTTGGTTTAAGTAGAGCTAAGCAATGGTATCACAGGGATGCCATCAGCAAAGTTAAGAAACAGATTAGACGTGAGGGAGAAATAGAAGAACTCGTTGAAGAGTTGAAGGCACAGCAAGAGTATTACACGGAGTGTCGGGCGGCCAACAGTTCATATGTTTTTTCAACCGATAAGTGCGAACACTGCGACTTTAAAACCGAATTCAAACTCGTATTGCGAGGACATATGGCTTATCCTCATCTGACCTCTCGACGCGAATATAAGTGCAATTACTGTGAGTACATGAGCCGCGATCCTAAACAAATCGTTTTACATACACAAGCACTTCATGACTCCAAGTGTCTCATTGAAATCCCACCGCAACTCTATGAGTGTCCAGTCTGTCCATACGAGTCGGGTGTAAAATCCAAAGCTGCCACACATATAACCAAATGTTTGAAGTTTTTTAACGCAGAAAAGTTATTAAATCTAACGGATGTTTATGACTTCCCAACTATAACACCGAAACCCATAACACAAGAGGACATTAAGATATATGAAGCAACTTTACAAGCGTTACGATTTGCAGCGTTGAATCCACAAACAAAAGTACCGCATATTCCTGGCCTACCATCTGGTCTTCAGCAACAAATGCTTGCACTACAACAACAACAATTGGGTGTCAGATCTGGTCCGGGCAGACCTCCAAAACAAATGATCGGAATGAACCAAAAAGGTCGACCAATTCAACCATTAATGGGTAATCCTTACGGATCTAAGAATATATCGCCACAATTATATCAAATGTTATCAACAGTTGGAGGTCACACCCAACTGGTTCCCATCCAGGGTAGGAATAACTCGCAAATGATGATGAATAAGATGCAAATGGCTGGCGCTAACGTCATGAAGAATAATAACGGCAATAAACCAAATATATTGTCTAAGAATAATAGTTCTTCAGGTATGAGACCAAATAATGACGTGACCGGTAAAAGTGGTACATTTGTCATCTGTGAAATTTGTGATGGCTATATTAAAGATCTGGAACAGCTTAGGACTCATATGCAGTGGATTCATAAGGTATGAGTTAATGGTTTATTACCGGTAATTACATTAATTAAAAAAAAAACTAATGATTATGTGGTAAAAGGTTAAAATACATCCAAAGATGTTGGCCAGTCGGCCGCCCCTCAACTGTCAGAAATGCCAGTGGAGGTTCTTCACTGATCAGGGATTAGAGCGACACTTATTAGGTGCACACGGATTGGTGACATCAAACATGCAGGATATGGTCAATCAAAACCAAGACGGCGGCCGATGTACTATATGTGGTCGGGTTTTTGCTAACAAATTAGTCGCTCATATGAATCAAGTAATCATTAACTTTGTAATACTTTTTCCTAAAACACTATCACTAATGATGTTATTATCTGTATATTAAAGATGCATAAAATAAGTCTAAAACCGGCACATCTATCATATAAGTGTACCGTATGTTCGGCGACATTCAATCTGTACAGACTATTTGAAAATCATGTCTATATGGTTCACAGCGGTTCCGTCAAAAGAAACGCTGCTGAAGACGGCACTGCTGCCGGACAACCACCTAAAAAAAAGACTGCACTCGAGATTACTACAAATAATGGTATTTCTTAGATACGACGTATGACATCGCCATTAACTGTTGACTTAATGGTTATTGACTTGATTTTGATTGAAATTATAGGCGACAAGAAATCACCGGTCAATCACTCAGTTGTATCGGGAAATAAAGTGGTTCTCTCCAGTAATATCATCAATAATTCTCAATAATAAAATAGCACTTCATTAATGTCATGATATCCTTGATTACATTATACACTTATATATAAAATAAATTAGCATAAATTATTTATTATTATTATTATTATGATTATTATCCAAATCAATATTTTTAAAAAAAGCATAACCGTAAATTAATTTACAATAAAGCAATTGTTTTAATTTGAAAGTAAATAGCCTTTTGTGAGAATAATTTTAACTTATCATTGGAGTCCAAATGCATTTTATTACGAGTAATAAGTTATATAATAATAATAAACTTTAAATTTAAATATAGTTTATTATCAAATTTGTAAAATAAAGAAAATGTTGGCATTTTTGTTGTCATGTAATGATGAAAACAGAATATGTGATAATAGATAACATTTGGCTAAATTAACAAATCAATTATTTATTTAAAACATTTGTTTTTAATCATAATTACATAAATTAGTAATGTTTATAAATTGTACTAACCTTTATTAATTAAATTTTAAAAATGAATTGTATTATTTAAATAATAATTATTTTATACAAAGCATTCAACAAATTTTAATCCAATTATTTAAAAATAAATTACAAATTGTTTCGAAACAAAATTTGTGTGAATAATGATTAAGACGATTGGTTTTGATTGACAAAAGTTTGAATGCCATTAATAACAACATTTTTGTCGATTCCTTTATTAACTAAAATACTTACCACTCCTTTACTCATGAGATCTCTTATGTTTCGACTTTCATCGTCAAAGAATAGCATTTGTGAGAATGGGATTCCACTGTCTGTATGGATATTATTGAAGTGATTTATCTTACATCCCGGGAATATCTCTTTATATTTAATCAATTTATTCCAATCAAATAACTCAATCAACTGTTCTGCTTCATCGGTAGCAGTGGTTCTGTGGTTATCATAAAAACAATTCAATTGTTGAATAATTTTTTAATAAAATATATAAAATCCCAAACCGAGAGGCAATTCCTAAAGTATATCCTAATGAACTAAGTTTTTCCAAAACCTCAGTTACGTATGGATAATGTTTCACAACTTGTCCTGAATTATCAACTACTTTGCCATTTCTATAATTGAAAAAAATATTGAAACACTATATGAATAAATTCAAACATTATTATCATTTATAAAAATCATTTAATGAATAATTAAAAACTTGTTTTTCAAATTTTAAGTATATTATTGTCAGTAAATTGGAGACATAGAGAGAGAGAGAGAGAGAGAGAGAGAGAGAGAGAGAGAGAGAGAGAGAGAGAGAGAGAGATGCTTAATGAATGTGCATTAATACCATACATATCATCATATCTTTAATGAATTAATTAAAAATAAGTATTTTTGTGATTTTTTACCAAAAAAAAACTAATTATAAAAGACTGTTGTATTTGAATGAAGTGTAGATTAATCACAGAATCTGTTAATCTATAACGTGTGTTTAAGGCTAAACGCTACTCGAAATTTTGCGTATAAAGTAACTGCAGTTAATTTTGTCGTAATAAAATATATAAACTTTATTTTATTACTGTAAAGCTACTAATAATGATAAAAATGTTTTTTAAATTAAATTATTTTAGTGCTTGTTTTTAGATTTTATTATAAAATATTCGTTGATTATTAACCTTATAGAACAATTAGTGGATTAACATATTATTATTTAAATAATATTTTAAAAAATTGTTTAAAAACCTCTCAATAAAAGATTTATTGTGCACTCAAGGTGTCGTTATTATTTTTTAGCAAAATATAATTTAATTAAAAAACATTTTTATCATTATTAGTAGCTTTACAATAATAACGTAAAGTTTATATATTTTATTACGACAAAATTAACTGCAGTTACTTTATACGCAAAATTTCGAGTAGCGTTTAGCCTTAAACACACGTTACAACCATTGAATACCATTTGACAGTTTCATCCAATAACTAGTATGTCATTTGCCATCAATTTTCACTGATATTTCATTTAAACTTATAATTAAAAAATGATTTATTTTAAAGTGAAATTACATTACGTTATATTACGAGAAAATTGTAATCATTTTAATGAAAACAAGTTTTAGATTTTTCTTATTTTCAACAAATAAATTAAAATATAGTCCAAAATTGTTATGAAAATAATAAATATTTTACTGTTGAATAATCGTATGAATGAAATAGTAGACATACCGGTGCCTAAAGGGAGGCGTCACGTGTGTGTCCACCCAAAAGGGCCACAGAGTATAGTCTGTCAAATGATAAGACAAAATGTTAAAAACGAGACATACATTATAACCACAAACTGATACCTAAGTCAAAGACAATAATCTTGAGATTATCTACTTTGTGTTGGAGATAATCCATTTCTATCACTTAGTAATTAATTAATCCAAAAGAGATTATCATAAATGACATTAATATTCAAATGATATGATTTGTAATAATATTTTGAAATGCATTAAAACATTACATCAAATCTCATAACATGTGATTTGATGTAATCATTGACTAAGCGTTACGTCAATAGAGAGACTCTGATAGTGACTGTCATAGCATTGATAATATTGATAGCAATGATAGGCAATGACTGTGTGCTAAACATTTGTAAGCATTGAATAACAATTGAATGCATACATAGGTATGGCATTCACTCATTGATAATAACTTTGGATTTTAACTATTATTTAGTGCTTTGTGTTGTATTGTATGCAATACTATGCAATATAAGGTAAATGTATAAAATAATTTAAGGCATAAAAACGTGATAAACACACAGACAAACAATTTTTTTTGCAAAATTATTGATATTTTTAAAATGAAAATATCATTGATTAAGAAATATATTTAAATTTAATTGTTTAAAAGTTTAGTTTTAGTTTTGAATTTGGTATAAAATGCAATGATTTGATGAATCAAAGTGTACCGATGATGATGACAATGGATGTGTTGGTTAATAGTAATAGTAGTGTTTTTAGTGGTTGGACAGGTAGTTCTGCAGGTTCTCAATGCTAATAGTGAATCAACGAGGCGTACAACAGCAATACATGGCATACCTATCTATACTATTGGGAAAAACTATGAAAAAAGTTGACGTTAGCCTTAAATATAGGATTGAGAGGTGAGGTTTAGGTAGGTTTGGTAGGCTGTTATGTTGCAACAGGTGCAACAGGTATGTGCTTCAATGATAGTCTCAGTGCTGGTGCTTATACTTGTCGGGCATTTTAATGTAGTTATTGCTTTGGGCTGTCATACAACTGGGGGACCAACTTCTCAAGCAAGAGGTTAAGGCTTAGACATAGGTTAAGCTTCTCTTAGTTGTTTTGGTGCAGTTGTGGTGCACTTTTCTGGTGTCGTTCCTCTATTTCTCTTTCCATATAAGACTCGAGAGTCCAAAAACAGTGATACCTCGAGTCGACTCTATTTCTAACCATAATTTAAATCTCTGGTTGTGTATGTGTTTGTGTTGTGTATTTCCATCGGGCAAATGGCAACTACAAGATATCTGGTGGTGGTTTATGTTGTAACAGCCGGTCTTCATGACGATGATCTTGGATCAGATGAAGAAGAGACAGTACTATTTGCTTGGGTGGTGGTTGACATTACTAACAACAAAGTGGTTCATCTAAACCATCATGTGGTCAAACCTCGTACCGCTGATGTCAATGAAAATATACTGTCAGAAGTGGCCCGTAATAGATATGGTCTGACTGAAGAACAAATCAAAAATGGACAGCCATTGGAAAATGTGTTGGAACAGTTGGATCAATTTGTTAAAACTAAATTGTCAAGTGAGACGGGTCGCTCATTTCAACTCATTACTGATGGACAGTTGCATCTGAGACAAGTGCTTCATCCGGAGGCCTCTAACAAAGGCATACCATTACCTGAATATTTCAATACTTTTTACGATTTACGCAAAGAGTTTAGAAAGTTTTACAAAAACAATGACTTCCACACCATTGAAGACATCATCAATTGTATGATATATTTTTGATATTTTATGAAAACTCAATACTTTTATCACTATATAATTTACAATAAATTTATTTATAAATTTAAAATATATTATATATTTTTTAAATCATTTGTTTTAAACGTATTTTTTCCCAAAGAT